TGACTATGGCTTGCAGGCAATACGTCAAATCGAATTTGCAGTCATCTTATAGAAAAACACAAGACAACAAGAAATTGTTGGTACTCATACCAAAACCCAAACCATCGTCTCCGTTTCAACCACGTTGACAGCTCCAGCGAGCAATAAGTTTCAAATGATGCCGACGACGACGACGACGTCAAAGTCGTCGTACATGTCAACGCTCAAAGAGCGATGAGCTGGCCAAAAATAAAAAGTTTCCGCGGAGTGTGTTGCACGTAAGAGGAAGCAACGTACACACACAGATTGAGAGGATGGAGTAGGAGAGCAGCAGCTCAGATGCAACGTTGTCTGCTGCAGATGCAACACGTTTCGATTTCATCGAATTTCATTGAAGTATTTCGCATGCACTGAGCAAAATGAGAATGGGGAATCTTTAGTAATTCAATACAAACATGTTTGAGTTTGATTTCCCCTAAATAACCATTTTAAAATAAGTGTAAATAAAGATGGCTGCTGCAGTAGTTAAATAGCATTTAAATAACATCAAATTAAATTTGTTTCTATTGTTAGATTGTTAAATGTTTTATCCTATTAGAAATTCTCTGTTCAAGTTCGTTGAATATTAAACATTATTGCTCTGTTAAAATAAAAGTATAAAAATAATAAACTGAAATCTAAAAATCGACGAAATCTTTACTTATTATTTAGTATTTCAAAATTGTTGATATTTAGGAAAGGAATTTCGCTTATTGGTTCAAAATTGATCTTGAAACCACTTATTAAAAAATGTGGTTAATATTTTGCAATAAAAATCATGATGTGCTCCTTAAAAAAAAATGAAAAATTCGTTTTTAAAGTTTACTCTAATAGAATTGAGTTCCTTTTTTAATATTAGTTGAAAATTGTGCACTGAACACTTATGGATTACTAGTTAAAAAAAAGAAATAAGGCCCAAACTTTTAATGCAATGAAAAACTATGGGAAAACAGTCCATCTCGCACTTAAAGTACTCCAGCTGCCGACACAGTAAAACCATTTCAGTGAAAACACACACACCAAAAAAGAGAAAAAATAACCATAGGAAAGAAAATGTTTTTTTTTTTGTCCAATAAATTATTTAGTATGTATAAATCACAGGGGCAGACATAATGCCGCACAGCAAAACTTGCGCTGAAAACATGTTAAAGCCATTCGAAGATTTATTTCGAGACGCTACTCGAGCCTGAGAAGGACTCAGGCTGCGAGGGATGAGGGGCTGAGGGACTGCATAGGCAGGCAGGCAGGCAGGCAAAGCGTTGAGAGAAAGCCAGCGAAGAAAAGAATGAAGAAAAGAAAGAAAGAAAGGAGTAGGCAAAGTTTTGTGGCTGTTAGCGCCTTTTATTTTAATTTTGGCCCGTTTCATACGATTTGCAAAGCGCGAAACTGCCAAGTGCCAAATGCACTTGTGTGTCAGGCTGGAGCAGAGCAGAGCAGAGCCGAGCTGAGCTGAGGGAAAAAGCAGGTACAACACAAGGAGCACAATGAGCACAAGGAGCACATGGTGCTGAAGTCGCCACCATCAGCAGCACCACCAAAATCCATACAACACATCCGCCACTTCACTAACCAAACACAACTTGTGCGAAACTTTTGATTCTTTTGATTTTGTAAGGGTACTTGAGGACATTTATGAAGATAGGCAGGAGGAGGCATCAGCTAAATAATATCCATAATAATTGATAACTTAATAATAATAATAAACTATAAATATTATTATTGCTGTTTTAAATACAAAAGGATTTAAATTAATTCCAGATAATATTTATATACATTCGATTACATTTTCATTTATATTGGTTGGATTATATAGATTGCAAATTCATTTACAGATAATTTTAAAATTCATTATATTTGAAAGAATAATAATATTTAATTTATTTAATAATATTCAAACTTTTTATAACCTAACCAATATGTTATTATGTCAAGTTATAAGAGAATCAAGCTTTCAATGTATTTTATTTCTCGACTAGATTCAAAATCCTTTTTGATCTCTTTTAATGTATATTTTTATAGGGTATCTGTTGGGCAGGCTCACTATCCTAGACACTCCTTGAGGCCTGCTGGCTTATTCTGTGCTCTTTGATTTTGTGGCAGTTTTTAAGTGTTTAACTTCGCCAACTGCGAACCGAGCAACTTTTTGCAGTCTCACAATTTAATGCCCTGCCAGGTTCCCAGTTACCAGTTTGGGCTCGCATTGTCTATGTCTGGATCTAAATGTCTGACTGTCTGTTAAGGAGTTGCATTTAATGACAGAACTTCGATATTATAGAGTTGGGCTCGGGTGCCATTTCTATAAAGTGACTATGCCACACAATCAAAGACAAAAGAAAGCCAAAAATGGCATTAAAAGAGCGCAATTCGAGTTTTAAGTGAATTCGCAAATTGGAACTTAATTTAGTGGGTGTAAATAAGAAGCGATAACCTTTAATGACCTGCTTAGGAGTTGCCTAAGAAGTGAAGACCTCTCAATTATTCCACACTTAAGTTCAAATTGGGAAACGTCTGGGAAACATTAAAAAATAATCACTTTTTTTCATTTCAGAAAAGTTGTAAGTGCAAATAATATATTTTCCATTGTAAGAGAGGCAGAATTTTAGTAAAATATTAACTTTAAAGGCATCCTGGTCTGGGTCTCAAATCGAAACGAGTTTAGATTCCAGTTAAGGTGTAAAAATTAATATTTTTGTCCTTTTTCCTTTTCTTCTTAAGTTAACCAAAATTGTATTATTTATTAATTCCAATTGACAGCTTTTTACAACTTCTAATCAATTTTCTAGAAATATTTCAATTACAACTTTACGCAATGCAATGCAATATTTTATGAGCAGGAAAATGATCATAAATAACTCGAATCTTAAAATTAGCCGTTTGTAAAGTAAAAAAATAACATTTTACGCCTCTCAAATGGCACTTTTCGTAGCAATTTCGATGCTCTTTGGACAAGTGTTTTCCAATCGTTTCTTTTAGCACATATTTATAGGCCCCAAAGGTTTCGTCGTTGCAATAACACCTAAACTATAAACTATCCATCATCTTAACGTATTGTAGCAATCGGAGACACCTAAAAGCTTTGCCCACGCACTTAAAACACTTTACGATTTCAGGAATAACCTTTTGGTTTATTTGGATTTTTAGCCCTTCCACAAAATATGTACACACTTGCAGGGGCTGAGAAAACAAACGTCTTTGCCCCAATAAACCCATAAATATGACAGTTGTGCTGAGCCCAATCGAAGTCATCATAAAGTGTGCATACTGTAAAGTCTGTCAGCCTTCGTCGCTCTCTCTCACTCCCACTTTATTTTATACCGTTGGACAACTTAATAAAGACTGCTAATAAGAGGCACACAAGTCATTAGTTTTGAAATTCCGTTTGTTTTTGTCGATTTTCCAAGTCAATTATATTATATTAAAATACAGTAAACACTTGTATATTACAACTTTCGTCGATAAAAATTTTCTAGAAAATGGAATTTTAAATATTAATGCAAGAAACTTTCGAATTTCTTTCAATCAAATTGAAATGCAATTATTGACAGTATTGAATAAAAAAATATTTTGCTGTCTTTTTTGATTACCTTTATTGCACACTTTTTTTATTTACCAAGAAAACAAATAAAACTAGAGAATTGAAAAATTATATCACTAAAATCAGCGACACTTTGTATCAGCGACGATTTTTCATTTTTCTTCTTTTCATATTGCAAACAGAAAAATCAAAAGCACATCAAAAAATGGAGATATTTTTCAACAGTTGAATATCGATTTTTTAATATTAATATCAAATAAATTATTGTTTGCTTATTTTAAATATCAAATGCCTTCTGTTTAACGAGTGTTTACTGTAACTTAAAGTTGAGACCGTTGCAAGCGCAGACAACAAACAAATAGTATGCAAAAGTCAACGACTGTCAGACTACATGTCAGACATTGCCAGACTTTGCCCGACGTGCCAGACAAGAAAGGACTGGCCGCCAGGAAGTTGTAGGAAGTGCATACAATGTGCGAATGTCACAGCAAACGTATACACACAAATATATAAACATGTATGCGTGTGTGTGCGGTGTGTGTGCCTTATGTAAAAGTTGTGCTCGGCCACCGCACTTCTTGCTTACATTTGGCAACTCTCATTTCATCTCTCCCACTCCCACGCTTCGTCCCTCTTCCTGTCTCGCTCTGACGTTAAGCTCGCCTCATTGTGTAGAGTGCTGTTTTGTGCCGTGTTACAATTGCAAATGGTAAAGCCGAGCAGCGTCGTCGTCTCTTTCAATTGCAGCTGATTGCAATGCGTCGTTCATTAATATTTTTGCAGCATTTTGCTTTGCGCTGGCATTCGTAAGCTAAGCTTCAGATTAACACAAAAAAATGTCAAATGCGCTTTAGCATAGTTGTTGCCATTCATTTTAAATTTTTTATTATTTTCTAAAAATATCTCAATTTATGTGGCCTATTTATTTGGAAATATATAAAAACATTTGTAGCAATGCGCTGACAAAAAATTTGTTCAAATCAAATAAATACTGAACATTTATCCTATTATTTTCTAATAAGACTATCACAATTTGTGTTTATTTTGGCATGCGCTGAAAAATATATGTTGAAATCAAATAAGTAAATACTTGCCAGACAAACTTTGTACGCTAAGTTGTCAATCAAAATATAACTGTTGCCAATATGCTTTATTTACAGTTAATTTGTTTCATGGTTTTCATTCGTGTTTGCTTCGCAAATTCGCATAAAATACAAAACTTATTTGCCTTTAATTGCTCATACACAAGTTTACTTTTGATATTCAATACTCTCTCCTACTCTCTCTCTCTTACTCTCTGTTTTTATACAAAAAAAAGGTCTCTCTCGCTATCTCGCTCTCAGTCGCTTAACATTAAATTAATTACATTTAAGTGAGTGCGAAAAAAAGAAGAGGAGGGAAGTCATGGGAATATGTGTTAAAAATGGCCAAAAGCCAGGCAACTTACAACAGTCACGAGTTGAAAGACTAACACGCTAAGCGCTCCTCCGCATTGAATCCCAAAAAAAAAAGATTCTCAGTCGCTGCACAAAATTTAACACTGACTGCGCTGCCGGCGGCAATAGCGGCTGCTGTTGTAGTTGTTGCTGCTGCTGCTGCTGTTGTTATTGTTGTTGTTGTTGCTGTTGCTGCTGCTAATCCACTTTTACTGTTCTTCAGCTCACTGCTATTACTACATGCACACAGACCGACACACAGACGCATGCATACGAATGTGAATGTGCAAAGGTAGCGACGAGAATAACGGTAACTTTTTCTGCACGCTGCGCTTTTGTTGTTTGTGTGCGGTTTTCTGCTTCTTCTTCTTGCTGCTGTTGTTGTTGCTTTTGCTTGGCGCTTTTCGCACTGATTGCTCCACACTAAAATCGAATTAAACTTGCACGTTCTTGTCGTTGTTTTTCTTGTTGTTGTTTTATTTTTGCCGCACTTTCCACACAGACACACACACACGGAGAGAGAACTTTCGCCTCTAACTTTTACTTTGTTTGGCAGCGCAGAACGCGACAATAGAAGCAACAAAAAAAAAAAATTGCACAGCGTAAAAAACTTTTAAAATCGTGCAATTTTTTCGCTCTTGTTTTTGTTCTTCTTCTTTTGTTATTGTTCTTCGGCTCCTTTGCGACTTTCGAGCTTAAGGATTTTCTAATGGGGCAAGGTGACAAAAGTTGCCGTCGCGATCGTCGACAAATGGAGAAATGGCTCTATTACCCCATTTTCATTTATGTTGCATTTGTTATAATTATTTTGAGTTCAAAGAAAGATTGCAAAACTTTTGTTTATGGTTTTTTTTTTGCTTTTAAAGTCTTAGGTCAATTTTATGCGCTTGATAAATCTCAAAATGGCGCTTTCAAAATTTCCGCTTTGTGCTCTCTCGATTGATAATTTTTCTTTTATTCATTGGGTTAAGGGACATTTTTAATTGAGATTCGACTTCGCTAATATTCCAATTAGAACCTGAAAAGCTCTTTTCTGATTATGTTGTGGGACTTGTTAAATTTCGTAATTTATTAAAAATATATATGGAAGTAACATCATAATAATAATAATATCTGCTCACATTTTTAATTTTAAATTCATTTAATTTTATTTTTATTTAACTAATTTAATCTTAATTTCAAATGTAATACAAAATATGAATATGCATTAAATCGTTATTTCCAACTTCCATTCCAATTAGAATTGATCCAAGAGATAATGTCCTAATTAATTCCTCTCTTAAAATTTGCTCTTTTACAATTGTTAGATCAGATCTTAACTGCTCCCTGTGTGCTGCTTGCAAATATCCCACAGAACATTTCCCGTCGAATCCAATTGGAATATTAGTCAAGCTTGTTTTCTCAATCTCTTTTATGAAATAATTATTTTTTAATTATTTTTAATTATTATGCAGTTTCGCTGCATCCTTAACACACACACACACAACCACAAATCACACGTGTGTGAGTGAGATTCCCAGTTATTCTTTTTTACCGTTAACACGAACCGCACGCACAGAAAATCACTTGAAAACTGTTCGGCCGGTCGAATCGGATTCGGGCACGAACTGAAACTGAAATTGTCTCCAACATGCAGCCAATGATGTTGCGACAACATTGTTGCTGCAGCAATCCATTTGCCGCATTCCTCGCTGCAGCAGCAAGAACGTTGCCGCAACGCGGTTTGAGTGAAAATTAAAATCGAACTCGAGCAAGTTGGTTGCGCGCATGTTTGAGTTGCTCTTGCTACAGTTTGGGAATCACAGAGAGGTGAGTTTGCAATGTGCAGCATCGTGCGACATGTTGCTAAATATTGTATGGCAGCAAGCAAAGCAAAATGAACTCAAAAGGTGACTCAACAAGTTTCTAGAGTGAAAATTGTATTTTGTTCTTCTTTGTCTGGGAAAGCGATTAAATGCGCAGACAAATTAAGCAATTAACCGTAAATAATGTGCTATTCTTATTTCAGATTAAGATCCATAAAAATCTAACACAATAGAGAGAATTATGAAAATAAATATGATTAAATGAAGGGCGATTTATATTTTTATGTAGCTATGTATATGAACATATTTATGTATGTAACCACATAACATACACACTAAAACTAAATTTATACTGTTATACAGTAAACACAATTTGATTCGAGAAGAAAATAATTATATATTCAAATACTTGGCAATTCGAAATTCGTATTTCGCGCGCGTCTTAAGCAAGATATTTTTAACTATCGGTCTCACGTTGCGCTAATCCGAATCATCGATAGCGCCGACACACATCAATAGCAGGCAACGCCGATAGCCCGGAGAGACTATCGATAGAGCAGCAGTTTGCAGTCACATCACTAGCATAGCGACGTTGCCCGTTCTTTCCTGTCGATACGCCAGTGCAGGCGTGTAGTGTTTTTAAAGTTGGTCCACGCAAATCAATAAACATCCAAAATGGTAGGTGCCAATAATCCACATTAATACCACAAAATGCAAGCTGAACAAATGCAGCAGTCGACAGCATAAAAATTTATTATGTATGCGCCAGGCAAATGCATTAAATTATGCGCAAAAAAAAAGTGCAGACGTGACACAGTCTACCTGTGTATGTGCATGAGTGAGTGTGTGTGTGTGTGCGTGTATGTGCAAGAATGTGTGACACTGATGAAATGCAAGACAAAGAAAATAGCTCAAGGGAAATTGTACAAATGACGTATGCAATTTTGGCTATTTAGAAAATGGGGCCTAAATCTGTCGCAGCTGTGTAAGTGATTATCTACATATATATTATATGTACATATAATATACAGTTATATGTGTGCTGTGAGTGTGTTTTTCTCAAGAAAATGTTCAACGCAAGTGGTTATTTGATTGTGTGCCTCAACATAACCTCACAAGATCAAGTCTGTCAATGTGTGTGTGTGTGTGTATGTGAGTGAGTGAGTGCTGCAAACGCCATTTTTAATAGCTGGCTCTTTTTACAGTTAAACTTTGGCTTACAAATTTCCCTTTCTCATCGATGACATTTATCTTTTTTTTATTTACATTTTCTAGGTCAACTTCACCGTCGACGAAATCCGTGGCCTGATGGACAAGAAGCGTAATATTCGCAACATGTCCGTCATCGCTCACGTGGATCACGGCAAGTCCACCTTGACCGATTCCCTTGTGTCTAAGGCCGGTATCATTGCTGGAGCCAAGGCAGGTGAGACTCGTTTCACCGATACCCGCAAGGATGAGCAGGAGCGTTGCATCACCATCAAGTCAACGTAAGGCTAGCCACACCCCTATTTTCAATTTGTACTGTATTAATTTTGTTTACCCACGTTTGCAGTGCCATCTCCATGTACTTTGAGGTTGAGGAGAAGGATCTGGTCTTCATCACGCATCCCGATCAGCGTGAGAAGGAGTGCAAGGGTTTCCTCATCAATCTGATCGATTCACCCGGTCACGTTGACTTCTCCTCGGAGGTGACCGCCGCACTGCGTGTCACCGATGGCGCCCTCGTCGTCGTCGACTGTGTGTCGGGTGTCTGTGTGCAGACGGAGACGGTGCTGCGTCAGGCTATTGCTGAGCGCATCAAGCCCATTCTCTTCATGAACAAGATGGATCGTGCTCTGCTCGAGCTGCAACTGGATGCCGAGGAGCTCTATCAGACGTTCCAGCGCATCGTGGAGAACGTGAACGTCATCATTGCCACCTACAACGACGATGGTGGCCCAATGGGTGAGGTGCGTGTCGATCCCAGCAAGGGATCCGTCGGTTTCGGTTCCGGTCTGCACGGCTGGGCCTTCACCCTCAAGCAGTTCTCCGAAATGTACTCGGAGAAGTTCAAGATCGATGTCGTCAAGCTAATGAACCGGTAAGTTTTAACCAATCCGCCACTCCGCTCCGCATCCCTTTGCTTTTAGCACAAAACGTGTGACGCTGAGCGTGCGAACTCTTCCGATTCTCGAATCTCAAGAGCCGCGCGTGCTGAAAGCGCCACAAGTGCAACAAACAATAAAAGCAGATCAAAACCATTGGAGACGCTGCTGAAACGCTGCATCGGAACCGCTTTCCCAATGTTCAAACGGTGCATTTGCTAAGGCAGCGACTCGACAATTCCATAAATAATGCTTCATATTTTTGATTCTAAAATGGAATTTTCTGTCACATATAAGTTCATTTATTTATTTCATATTTAGAATGAAAAATGAGATATAAGTAACGCATTTCAAAAGACAGTTTCAAGTCTCAAAGAGTCGATGCTGATTGGTATTCAACATATGACCTCATAAATTGTACGCCTAGGTCATATAATATTTGAAATTTCTTTATTCTCATGGAACTGTGATGGATTACGTCATCTATTTGTTAGGCATCGTCTGATTCTGTTCTTTTAAAATGTGAAACAGATTAGGAATAAAAGTGGCATGAATATTGCCAGTAATTGATAATGAAAGGAAATGCTAAATTAGGAAGATGAAATTAATAAATATATATAAGGAAAACGCTATGCATAAAGGGTTTTTAGGTGAGAAAAAATGTAGAAATCAAATTATGAAATATAAGTAGAATGGATAGAAAAAATTTAAAGATTTTTAACTGAGAATTAATGGCTAAAAATTTGATTGGATTTATTCAGCATATATATTGAATGAAATCCAGAACAAGGTTAAAGGTTGAAAGGGTTCTAGATTCCATTGGATGATTTTTTCTGTGTATGTATGTAAGAAAAGATTCATAACTATTCTAAAAAAAAAACCCAGACCTGAGACACATTACAGAAATTAAATTATGACATTAAAAATAAATATAATATAATTATATATATCAATTTAAGTTAAAAGTATTCTCTTACCTTAAACCTGTAAAAAATGCAGCTAAATTAATTCATTTATTTTGTTGGATATTTTCGATTTTGACAGTCTGTGGGGCGAGAACTTCTTCAACGCGAAGACCAAGAAGTGGCAGAAACAGAAGGAGGTGGACAACAAGCGCTCTTTCTGCATGTACATTCTGGACCCCATCTACAAGGTGTTCGATGCGATCATGAACTACAAAAAGGAGGAGATCGAGACTCTGCTGACGAAGATTGGAGTGACGCTGAAGCACGAGGATAAGGACAAGGATGGCAAGGTGCTGCTGAAGACAGTGATGCGCACCTGGCTGCCAGCTGGCGAGGCTCTGCTTCAGATGATTGCCATCCATTTGCCATCGCCCGTCGTGGCCCAGAAGTACCGCATGGAGATGCTGTACGAGGGTCCCCATGACGATGAGGCAGCGGTTGCTGTGAAGAACTGCGATCCCGATGGTCCCCTGATGATGTACATCTCCAAGATGGTGCCCACCTCCGATAAGGGACGTTTCTATGCCTTCGGCCGTGTGTTCTCCGGCAGGGTGGCCACCGGCCAGAAGTGCCGCATCATGGGCCCCAATTACACCCCTGGCAAGAAGGAGGATCTGTACGAGAAGGCCATTCAGCGCACCATCCTGATGATGGGTCGCTATGTGGAGGCCATCGAGGATGTGCCATCCGGCAACATTTGCGGTCTGGTCGGCGTCGATCAGTTCCTGGTCAAGACCGGTACCATCACCACCTTCAAGGATGCCCACAACATGAAGGTAACACTGAACACTGATTGCCTCGTGAGAATGTTACTAAATCTCATTTCTAATCCCCCGACCAGGTCATGAAGTTCTCCGTGTCGCCTGTGGTGCGCGTTGCCGTTGAGCCCAAGAACCCTGCTGATTTGCCCAAGCTGGTGGAGGGTCTGAAGCGTCTGGCAAAATCCGATCCCATGGTGCAGTGCATCATTGAGGAATCCGGTGAGCATATCATCGCCGGTGCCGGTGAACTGCATTTGGAGATTTGCCTTAAGGATCTGGAGGAGGATCACGCTTGCATCCCCCTGAAGAAGTCCGATCCCGTTGTCTCCTACCGCGAGACGGTCAACGAGGAATCCAACCAGATGTGCTTGTCCAAATCGCCCAACAAGCACAACCGTCTCCTCATGAAGGCCCTGCCCATGCCCGACGGCCTGCCCGAGGACATTGACAACGGCGACGTCAGCTCCAAGGATGACTTCAAGGTGCGCGCCCGCTACCTGGCCGAGAAGTACGACTACGATGTGACCGAGGCCCGTAAGATCTGGTGCTTTGGCCCCGATGGCACCGGCCCCAACTTCATCCTCGACTGCACCAAGTCCGTGCAATACCTGAACGAGATCAAGGACTCTGTCGTCGCCGGCTTCCAGTGGGCCTCCAAGGAAGGCATCATGGCCGACGAGAATCTGCGCGGCGTTCGCTTCAACATCTACGATGTCACCCTGCACGCTGATGCCATCCATCGCGGAGGTGGCCAGATCATTCCCACGACCCGTCGCTGCCTCTACGCCGCGGCGATCACAGCCGGTCCCCGTCTCATGGAGCCCGTCTACCTTTGCGAGATCCAGTGCCCGGAGGTCGCCGTCGGCGGCATCTATGGTGTGCTGAACAGGCGTCGTGGCCACGTTTTCGAGGAGAACCAGGTCGTCGGCACCCCCATGTTCGTGGTCAAGGCCTATCTGCCTGTGAACGAATCCTTCGGCTTCACGGCCGATCTGCGCTCCAACACCGGTGGACAGGCGTTCCCCCAGTGCGTGTTCGACCATTGGCAGGTACTGCCTGGCGATCCGTGCGAGCCCTCAAGCAAACCCTACCAGATTGTCCAGGACACGCGCAAGCGCAAGGGTCTCAAGGATGGCCTGCCCGATCTGTCGCAGTATTTGGACAAGTTGTAAGCGACGGAACAGCCTCCATCCCCCTCCACCTCCCCCTGCATCCCAATGCTGCTGCTCCTGCTCCTGCGTCTGCGCCTGCTGGCTAAAGAACCGAAGAATGAAAATGTGGTGGGCGGGTTGAGGAGAGGAAACCGATCAAAACCAACAACAACAACAAGGGTCGCTGTCGGCGTTTAGAAACACACACACATTTAAAGAAATTTTGATGATTATTAATTGTATAACAGTAAAACAACAACAACCAACAACAACAAAATAAATCAAGTAAATGATACTACTTTAAGTTTATATAAAAAAAAACCAACAAGCAAAAATACATCAAGAGCTACCAGAAAAGAGATCAGTTAGTACAAAAAGGGGGCACAGAATATAATAAACGGCTGCTGTCAAACAGAGTGACACTTAACAGCACACGAGCGATGTTAAAATACCGAAGTAGACGATGGGAAAGATCCTTTTGAGATGCTGTCTGCTCAAACTGCCAATAACTAGCATATATATTGCAAATGTTGGCTATCAAAACCAGCCGCTAAATAGCTAACATAGCCACAAGCTGGCTAAAGTGAGCAGCACTATTCTGTTAAGCCATTAACAGCTGTAGTTAACACAGTGCCTGCCTGCAAAACGAGGGTTGAGTTTCGCCTTTCATATTTTTATTGCAGTGTATGTGCGTGTGTGTGTGTGTGTGCGTAAAACGCGCCGCGTGGCCAAGTGCAAAATCACAAAGCAAAGCACACAAAGCCAATCAATGTTAATGATTACAAGAAATATGCGACATGCGGCGTTTGGCAAACGAAAACAACAACAGCAATGACAGCATCGCCGTGGGGTGGCACTCAGTGAGAGACTGGGAGATACACAGTGGGAGAGAGAGCGAAGCAAGAACTCCCACACTAAGGGCTCTCTTTGTAACTCTCTGCATTTGTATGGCTGCACGCGTTGACATGCTAGCAAGTAAACATCTAATTTATATATGTAAGCTGTATTATTGCAGAATGCAGACATATTAAATTACCAGTTACATATTCGATGTAGCAGAGCTTTGACAGTTAAAGAGAGCGTCAAATGGATCGTGCACCCACACAATACATTGTATTTGTTTGAGCTTCGCTCTTTGCTCGCGTTCATTGTGTGAAACCTGAGCAACAATAGTGATGAACAAAAGTCAACTCACGACTCACGATTGGGAGAGCGAGAGAGACAAAGCCTGAGTTGAGAGTGAGTCGTGGGAGAAAACCACTTCCACCAGATACAGTAACAGTAACAGCAGCACAATGTGTCCAATTGGCTTCACGCTCTTCCGTTTAGTCGTGTTTCGGTGTTCGAGGCGAGCGGACGTGTATTTTTCACTAGATGCAATACGTGCCGCATGCATTGCAATATTTTATGTAAATAGGTATGTGAGCGTGTGTGTGTATACAAATGTGCGGTTTGTGGTCTGTGTTATGTTCCAAATTCCAAAAAGAGACCATATTAATCGAATGAAATAAATGCAAAAATAGTCAACAATTTAAAACGAATCAAAAAGCAACATTTGGTGTGTGTGTCAATTTATGTGTTTTTTGTGTTTGTATGTATGCATGTGCAATTCATAAGCAAATTGCAAAATGCGAATAGAATTCTCTTGTTCTCGGAAGTTGCCGTGTCTGTTTTTGTCATCGTCTCAAAAGCGGACACCGCCAACGTCGCAGCCGCCGCTTCGTCTATCACATTACAACAACGGCAGCAGCAAGAAGAAGCAGCAGCCCCCGTTGGATGATTGTCGACTGTCTCTTTCTCTCTCTCGCACACTCGCTCGCTCGTCATATATTTTTTTGCTATTTTTAGCAATATTTTCCAATTGGAAGATTTTTGATTTGACCTTTTGGCAGTAAAAGCTTTTAACTGTAATTATTATGCGTTGCTGCCAGCAGTAAAGAAAAACAACAACAACAACATGCAAACGCTGATGTGAGTGGAGTGTGTGCGAGTGTGTTTGTGTGTGTGTGTGTGTGTCTGCATATGAAAAAATCGATGCCAGACTCCCTGCGACGACGCCAGGCAGGCAACAACTTCATTCAGTAAAGCAAAAGGCAAAGCGACGGCGACGGCGACGTCGACGGCGACAGTATATTTTACAGTTAGACAAAGTTGAAGCTTTGCTTTGACTGTGTGCGTGTGTGTTTTGTGTGTGTGGGTGGGTGGATGGTTGCAGCTTAAGTTTGGAGTTCGAATTGGAAATGAGTTTATGCACAGCTATATGCAATAGATAACACCGGAAATAACATTTTTTCCGTTTTATAAAATGCAAAAAAAAATAACAAAGACAAAGGCAACGTGCGTCTCTAGGTGTGTGTGTGTGAGATGTTTATGTATAGAAGCATATAAATTGTTTTATATGTATGTATTTAAGTGGGCGGCAAACAGGGAGGCTAATTTGTCTTTGTGTTCGTGAATGTGTATGTGTGTGAGTGAGTGCGCCTGAGCTTCATACGTACACACACACACACACTTATATATATATATGTATATATATAACTCCTCTGTACAAACAAAGTGTATAGAAAATATGAATGAAGACACGAAATGCGAGGAGCAAAGGAGTTGAGAGTAAAACTAAAGATACGCCAAGAGTGGGGAATAGTATGTGGTGGAGAAGGAGTAGGAGAGGGAGAGGGAGAGAAGTGAGTAGTGAGAATAGTGTTTCTCACACACTAATTTTCCCATTTTCACACCTCCAACTCCACAACGGTAAAGGGGATGGGGGAATGGTGTATATGGGTGTAGGGACGGGGGGCCCTGTTAGCTCTACGTGAAAAATCAATGCAAAAAATGTGTGGGACGTGTTACAAACATTTTTAATTGGCTTCTGAAAGTGCGAGATAGTTGAAAACTTGCCAGAAAGTATTTAATTATGAAAGATGTAACAAGAATTCTTAAGTGGAATTGTGAAAAGTGGTCTCTGAAGATATCTGCGAAAAGTTGGAAAACTTCTCATTTATACCAGTTGAGTCGAAGTGATGGATTCCAAAGTCATCTTGTATATAATTTATACATGATATGAAGATTGCCACAGCAAATGATTCAGTTAACATTAATTTCGGCTCTAGGCCTAAATTTCAATTGAAAATACTTAACAACATGAAAACAGTCATAAACAAATATTAACATTTATTTTTTCTTATTAGCTACTTAAGATCATTGCGGTTAACGCCGCTTGTTAACCCAAAAACCCAGATTTGCATTGCGTCAAATTCAAAAGATTTGCGTTTACATTGCTTTTCGCATTCTTGACACATTTTTACAGTAATTTTAGAATTAGTAATTTTAGCTAGTTGGTGATTAGAACGGTAATCGAGACATAATTTTAAATATTTTTTGCTATTTTGTGTTTGCTGTCAGTGGGAAAATTGTCAATCATCAACTAAAATGGGAGAGAAATTTCAATAAAAGTTCTACTCAAATTATAAGAAAATTAAATTGATAAGAAGCTAAAGCCGCCTAAAGCAAGTACGATTAAGTTCAAGCCATATTTGTTGCAGTCAATAACATTTCAATAGCTATTAAAAAAGGTCAGTTGAGATGATAAACACCTTTTTGTGGCTAATGTGGTTTATTCATGCCAACGGAATCGATAAACATTAAGAAGTCTGTTGAGCTGATTAATTATTTAAATTCACGAAAGGCACTTTAAGTCATAAGTAAGTATTGCGGTTTATCCGTATTATTTAACACTAGAAACCCCAACTCGTATAAAACTATTTTGTTGTTGAAAATACTTACTTATGGCCTATGTTTTTTAAACAACCCCAAGAAAACAGAAGCAATATGTGTTCAAAATTCTTTTGGGATGATAAAATATAATCCAAAAAGTTGGTTATTTATGGTGACTAAAATACCAAGAAAATCAATTCAATTCATATTGTTAAAAAAATACCTTGCTTAAGCCATTAGTAAGTATTGTTGTTTATCCATTATCCACTCCCTTAGAAATCACAATCAATTATATTAAGAGCTGCTAATCTGCAGCTCAGCGTTGCGAAAATACTAATTTCCGCTAAATCCCAAACCAAAATTGGTAGAGCTTAGCGTCTCATATTGAATATTACGCAAATCAAATCGGTCTTTAAGAAAAGTGGGATAGAGAGAGAGAGAGACAGAGAGAGAGGCTTAAGCTGATTACAACTAGTACAACAAGAAAAACAACAATAATTACAACTTTTATTATTATGCTATTCTATTCCACACGATTTCCCCACCGTTTTTCCCATCAGCAGCAACTAAATCATTTGGATGACGAATTTAATGACCTGAAAAAAGAAGAAGAAGAAAAAACGCCAATCACTTTCACACATTGCATAGATGAAAATTGAAATAGTCGACAACAAAGACGAGCAGCAGCAGCGACGCCGACATCGACTGAGGCAGCGACAGCGACAGCGAATGTGGGCGCATTGATTACATTTTCATAATCAACGAAAGAGAAAAACACACACATAAAAAAAAAGAAGAAAAAAAAAGAGATAAAAAATAAAGTTGCAGTTGGTTTCTCAATGAATATCGCATAATGGCGGCAACACCTGAATCGTGTGGCGCACGCGATTCTGTGGAGGCGTTCGAACCCGAGGCGGATACAGAGACGGAGGCAGAGGAGGGCACAGAGGCGGCCTCATCAGCTAACAACATGTCCGAGCCGGAGACAGAGACAGAGACGGAGACGGAGCCCGCTGGTCTGGATGCGCTAGATGCTCTAGATGCGGCCAACGACCAACAAAAGCAAAAGTATGTCGCAAGCATCTAAATGAAATTAAATTCAAATTGTGGCCTAGAGTGCCTGCCACACTCGGTTGCAGTTGGCCCAACTGTACACGGCCCAGGCCAGGCCTCCTCAACACGTAGCCTAATTACATTTACATTTGCATTTCGCTTTTCGTCTTTGCAGCGAGCAACTGCAGCAGCATCAGCAGCAGCAGCAATTGCAGTCACTGGAGCCCATCTCACTGGACGAGATACCGGAGCCCATTCGAGTGCTCGACGATATCATATCGGAGTTCGAGGAGGAGGCGACAACCAAGCCAGCTGCCCTGCACAGCAACAGTGGCGAGAATCAATCAGAGGACGACGGCTACATGAGTCTGAGTCGCAAAAAGTGAGTTCGGAACAGTTGCCAGTCAACAGTTTTTAGTTAACAGTTTTCAAAAGTCATAAAACCGAACAAATCCAAATCATCGCAAGTATCATCTGGTCAATTATACGAAAAAGTAACTAATTTCCTATTAGAATCGACAAGTATCATTGTATTAATTAATTACTTTTAAATTACTGAACTCTTATTTCAATATTAATTAAATAATTAAAAAATGATTTCTATTGTATTTAAATAATTATTTAAAACAATTAATAATCAATTGTATAAACAATGATTCAAATCGATTTAAAAAACTTGAAAAATATGCAAAAACGTTTGTTTAATAATATATTGTTTAATAATAATATACTATAAATAATATATTATATTATTTTCTATCTAATCTGGCAATAAGTTTTAAAAACGTTTACACATTTGCCTTTTTGAGAGATGCAGTTCCGTTATCAAATCACTTTTCGTAAATTTATTAATTATATCTAACTTTATGTTGGACAATTTGAATGATAAATAATATAGCATAATATAATCCTTTCTCTCCTGATTTAATGTGCAACAAATCATTGAACTCTTATTCCTTATATCTTTTTCGTATGCTTTTATTACAACTATTTGTTGATTCCCATTTCTATATTCAAGTTTTATTTTGCTTTAAATTGATTATCAACTGTGAGGAAAAAACACAAAAATATATTTCTCAAATGGTCTCAAACCATTCTGATTTCGAGTCTTAACAACTAATCACTATTTTAATTTAAATATCAATCACTAATAATATGGGAATAGTAATAGATGCTCGCAATAAATCAATGAATTTTGCTTAAAACTTAAAACTTTTACTACTTGAAACAATTACATTTTTAATAATAATTAAAATGCGATTCCAATTCATGTTTGACATTCTGCAAACAAAATGTAGTCAAAATTAAATAGAGACAACTTACTTAAAGTGAACAAAAAGTAGTTAATTTAATGTATTTTTAATTCCAATCAAAATTGTTGTGACACTTTCTGTCTTTCGGTGTGTGCAGCATGTCGAAGAAGGACTCGGAAGATGTGCCACAAACGCCGAGCACAGACACCGTGCCCGAGGGCAGTTTCAACGAGGTTGATGGCACTGCCGAAAATCTAACCAAATTATCTGAGGCGGAGCACAGCCAGGAAGCGACAACGCCACTCATACAGACAACGTTGGTAAGCATACAAACATCTGCATACATATCTGAGCATAGGTAGCTAATGGAAAAGCAATTAATGTCCTCTTTCACCTTACTCCCCCCCCCCCCCCCCCCCCCGCATATCAGCCGAAGGCACGCAGTGCGAACTCAGCGCCAGCCACCAACTCCAACTATTCGAGTCTGCCGTGTTGCGGTGCCCGTGCCGCCTCCAATCTGTGCGCCGCCTCCAATTGCAACTCATCCAGAAATGGTCTATTGGCTGCCACTCGCACCGGCAGCTGCAACGGGGAGCGCAATGTCCTGGGCATCGACATCAGTGCCGTGCACAATGCCGTTCTGCGTGGCAATCTTGCCAAGTTGCCGGAGCCCATGCTAAATGAGCATCCGGTGACCATCTATCCGGGTCCATCGGCGAAGGCCAGCGGCGAGGGTGCGCGCAGCAAGCGACTGCTCAACTCTGTGGAGAAGCACAAGGAAGTCTGCCACATGCTGAATCCACATTCCAATAGCTCCACCTCCCCATCGACATCGTCGGGATCACAGCACACGTCGAGCGGCGAAGCATCGCCATCGGCATCCAATATAAATATGAATGTCGCCACAGCCAAGCATCTGCGACAGGTGACTGATGACTATTCTGAGGACTCGCTGGAGGAGTCAACCATTTCGACAGATCTGACGCCCGTCAAGCAGAATGGGGTCGCCTGGGAAATACACTTTAAGAGCAATAAGAAGAAGACGACTGCCACGAAAAAGTCATCCTCGGTTGCTGCTAAAAAGGTGAGCGACTCTTACAAATATTAAATAAATTAAATTGGCCAACATGTCCATGATGATATAACCTATAAGAACTAGGCTTCCATTGAGGCCGTAATTGTAATAGCAAATCCATACATAAACATATATATAAACAACCAGATGACAATTGAGTTCATGTGCAATTTACTCATTATTTATTTATATATATTTTTAGTAGATTTCATTTTTAGAAAATCAATTAATATTATTAGCAAAGTTGTTGTATGAATAACTTTTGTGTTTAGCAACTATTTATTGAATGAATCAATTTTTATGAAACTATACTCAACAAAAATACAGTTCACTTATAAAGAAGATAAACCCACTAAAAAATTGCCATCTTTAAAGTCAGGCAGTAATCAACAGGCTGGAAAAGATCAATATATTGGAGTTTTAATAGATCTCCGACGATCTTTCTAGCACTGTTTTCCAGTTGCTCAGTTGACATTAGATTGTCTGAACAACGACCAAAGATTATTTTGGATAATCACATCCTTTCTAAAGATTGTGCTTAAAATTTGTGCGACTTATGCAAAATGCAGACTTATCCTTCAAAACGAAGCAGTTTGAAACACATTTTAGAGGAATGTTCAGCTCCAACATTAAATAAATGATAATTAAATAAATAATAATGTATTCACATCAGATACAACTCTCTGAAAATAGTAATACATTAATACAAATATAAAAAATAGAACATATCAAATCCTTGCCTTAGGAACAAATTGATCTAAGATAATTAAGAAAATGTTTAACATTGCTTATAATATTTGAATCAAACATTAAACAAAATTTATGTACCACAACTAAATTGTTGAAAACATCATTTTAATAGCCTCTTTTGTTTCCTTACCATAGCAACAACCGCGAGAGAACAATCTGGCCGACTTCAACAACAGTTTCGTGTACAATGAGCAGCAGAGCATGCTGGGCAAGGGTACGTTTGTCATCAGGCGATCCACTGCCAAGAAGCCGCCACGTGCCGTCGATGTCTTTAGCATACCAAAGCCACCACGCACCTCCCTCGGCGCTGGTGCGATCAGCAATGAGTTCTACACGAGCGACAGCGAGCCCAGCGAATCGGCGCCACTGCCGCCGCCGCCGGCGCCATCCGAGATGAGCTCGCTGTGCAAGGAGTGCGACGCGGGACCGGCGCAGACGCGTCGTAGTTTCGAATTGGCTGGTGCTCAGAGATCGGCGCTGTCTCTGGACATTGCCGAGGCGGCGGAGCATCTGGTCAAGAAGCCCGTGAAGAGCAAGACGGCCATGCTGACGGAGAAGCGGCTCAGCGCCGAGTCCATGCCCGACAACACCTCCAGCAGCGAGGAGTTCGACGAGGCGCGCCTCAACGGCAATGGCTACGATCTGTTTGGCTATAACGGAAACGGTAAGTGACCAGATCCAGATGTGACAGACTAGAAGTAGAAAACATATGATATATAGAGAGAATTTGTATCACTGACATTAGCCGAGGCAGATCATATTTGAAATGTAGTTTCTTCTGTTTTATATTTACAGATTTTATTCTTTCAGATTGTTCATATTTTCCACTTACAAAACAGATATGGATTGGTGCTTTGAGATTATAAATTGAGATGCAAGCCAAAGCTTATGTTCAATATATCCAGCTTTAAATATATATATGATATTATATTATATTATTTATTCATTATACATTTTATAAGCTCTTTCCGCTTCTCTCATATCGAAACAATCTCTCGGTTTCAAATTTAATATATATTTTCGTATGTAAAATATTCTATTCTATATATTTTTAATCTCTTTTATACAAGTTAAGATTCCAATTGCCATATTGTCGCCAAAACTGATCCGATTTCCAAATTATATAATTATACAATTTAGAGCAGGAAAATATCTTAAATCTTATCGATTATGTATATGACTTTAGCTGGTTGCAATAATCGTTGATTCGGTTTACGGCTCTTGTCAATATCTCAAACTTAGATTTGGCTTGTGAATCTGCTTTTCCACAACAATGCATCCAAATTTTATTCCAATTTTAGTTAGGGTTTCAATTAGGTTTAGTTTTCTAACCGATTCGATTACAAATATTATAAAGCACTTCAGATCAGGCTACACTTAATCAATTCTTTGCTAATTGCCTCACTTTTCTAACCTAACGCAGATCAACGCGTCTCGACGGCAACAACACCACACACAGATCTGGCGCCCACTTTGGAGGAGGACGAGGAGCTGTCCGACTTTAGCTACGGCTGCGCTCCGCTCAAGCAGATTGAGCACAATATAAGCGCGCTGCTGCGCGGCGATTTGCCTCTGATGGGTCCGGTCAATGGATGCAGTGCAGCTGCCTCTGTTGCTGCTTCTGCTGCTGCCACTGCTTCTGCTGCTGCTGCTGCTGCTGCTGCCGCTGCAGCTGCTGAGTTGCATGCGAAGCGCGTGCTGGAGTTCCGTCCGGGCGTGCACAAGTCGGAGAGTGCCAAGGAGATGCTGCTGTCGCAGAACGTTGTTGGCTTTGGGCCGCTGCCACCGTCGCCGCCCAGCTCCAATCCGGATATGTTTGACTATGATGCGCCGCTGCCGCCTTCACCCATTGAGTCACGCAAGCAGCTGGAGCTGCCGGCGTCCGTTGCTGTCTCAGCGGTGCCCGCCAATCGGGGCACCACTGTCGTCGAGGTGCATGCCACCGCTTCGGGGGCAGCGGTGCACAGCAACAGTCATACGCGACGCAGTCGCGACAATGTGGCTGCAGTGCGTCATTTCAACGATGAGCTGCCACCGCCACCGGCACCGGCCCATCATCAGTCGAGCAGCTTTGCGGAGGTGCTGCCTGGACTGGGACACGCGGCACCACCGATGGCGCCAGTGGTGCCACCACATCGTGCCGGTCACTCGCTCAACACCATGAAATCGTGGAGCATTGACTCGCAGTATCGCAAGCGATCGCCCAAACTCTTTGGCTATAGTAGCGGCAGTGGCATAACCACGCCCACTGGCCTCGGCGGCCAAATGCCGCCGCTGCCCCAGCCACCGATGGGCACCATTGGGTCGTCGTGCGATGGCGGCTCTGTTGCTGGCACGGGCTCCTATCAGCGACGGTACATCAACTATGGCACCAAGCGCAGCCTGAAGCAGTCGCCGCGCGAGGAGCATCGCCTGCAAACCTCATGTAGTCTTCCCGAAACCCCAATCTTTGCCAGAGGGTGAGTACCGCCACTTGCACAGCTAACTCGAATCCTCCAGTGAAATTCATTGCCATTCATTTGCTTCCAGCTGTGACATACCACGTACGCCATATCGACGCCAAAATGATCCCATTCCCGTCAGCGGCTCCCGCACAGCGCCACGTTCGAGCACATCGAACAGCATCAATATGGGCAACTCCATCTTGGGCATAGGACGTAAGTTTCGCAACTGTATTTTACCATATTTAATTTAGATCTCGCAGCAATTTGTATTTCTCAAAAGTCAAAATTATCGTTGCATTTCAGTTTATATTTTATAGAAAATGCGTTATTATTATTAAAATAATTATTTTACTAAAATTGCTTGGCATGTTAATTAAAGAACTTATTGGTTTGTTTTTCAAAATCTTATTATCATATCATAAATCATTACTATTATAGTTTTATAGTAATTATTACGACTTTTAAAAGCAGTTTTCTTTGTTTTAAATCTAATATAGAAATCTTGAATCTGAAAGCTTTATTAATTAATTATTCCGGCATGGAAATTTAAAATTTTGTAAATAGATTAATCATTTTGCAAAACTTTTTTATAAATTTAAAAAAAAACCCTATGAAATCTATTCAGAAAAATCTGTAACTGTATTTTACAAGACTGTATGTAATATATATTGAAAAAATGGTAATTTCTTTATTGAAAAACAGAAATGATAGTTTTTCGCCAATCAAGATGGAAACTGTTGCAAACAAGAACTGTATTTTTTGATACAACTTTTTGTTTTGATTAAATAAAATTGTTATTAAAAAGTGAATCATCAATTGGAATCAGAGCTAGAACTTCTATAAACCGATTACGCTTTAAAGTTGAAATTGTTGATTACAATAACAAAATAAACTTTATAAAAACAAATTTATCATATAACGATGTAAGAAGTTTTGAATATTCAGTATTGATAAATCGTAATTCTTGCAAAGGAAGCATTTAATTTAAATTATGCACAAGTTCATTCAAATATTATGTAAATTTAAATAATTGATGAATCTTGAATTTTGAATTTTATAAAATTGCATTTTGCCTTTTTTAGCTGGCCCCTATGGCACCGCTCAGATTTGTCGCCAGCGTTCCATCAATCACGCCTTAGCCTCCAATGAAATGCTGCGCATGACTGGCGCCCCCGCTCGTGGCTGGTATCCCAAGCAGCGGAACATGCGGCCCGCCTCCACGGAGAACATTGATCGATTGGCATCGGTGCGTGTGTGGGACAATCCGGCTGGCATGTCGGGCACGGGTCAATCCCGCAAGCCGCTCACCCTGCCGCCCAATTTGACGCCCTCCTTCTTGAACAAGTCACCACGCGAGGCGCTGCGACGGGTCACCAGTTTGCTAATAACCAAAAAGAGTAAGTGCCTCCAAATCAATTCTCATGCACACTTACTCAACACAATTTAATGGCCATTTCTCAGAGCACAACAAGGATCGAAAGCACAAGGCATACAGCGATCTGCCCATGGATGACAGCAACAGCAAGCATGCCTATGAATTTGAGACAGGTAACTAAAGCATCAAACTCATCGGAAGATCTCTCTCACAGATTTAAATACAAATCTAAAATCTGGTGTCTCATTCTACCCATTTTCAAACCAAAAATGCAGAATTATTAATTTTCAAGCGCAGCTCAAAACTGGCTGCACAAATATTGTAGTTTATGGGAAAATATTTTGAATAATGACAGCCAGACTAATCCCTTTAATACTAGATGCTAGAAGATAATACTCCTCTTTGTCCGATGAAAACATATATTTTCTTAAATATTCTTTTTAAGTGGGCTCAAAATTCATTTAAACAAGTCTGGGACTGGTTTGACAAAAATGGAACTATTCCACACACAATCTTTACTGACCTACAATTGGCAGGTTTTGCTAAAAATAAAAGTAAAATATATCTGCAAAGAATATGACAATGTTCTCGGCAAATGAGTTTCAAACTTTTGAAAACTTAAGTCAGACGAGGAGTTCTTTTCAGCTTACAACTAACGATCAGTTAGTCAGCACAACATGTTTGTCCGATAAAACTAAGATTTATTATTGAATATCTCTCTCTCTTTTTTTGCAGTGGGCTCCGGGAAGCGTAAGGAGAGCAGCAGTCGCAGTAAGGACAATGCGGCCGCTGTAGCCGGCACTACGCCCAAGGCCAAAAAGAAGGGTCTCTTCAAGGCGCTGTGGAAGCGTACGAAAACCACCTCGCTCGATCAATAGAGGCACAGACGAGGACGAAGGCGTCGACTTGTTTTTAGACGAAGCCAAAACACTGCCCCCCTAAACACCCCCCCCAAAATACTCCAATGGAATTTTGGAGTTATATGTTTTTAATGATGAACGTTGATAATAACCGCACTTCTAATATACACTATATGCAGAGAGTAACATAACACATACATGTACAATATGAAGACGGTGTTGGTACTACGCTAGGCATGCACAGACCCTATCAAGTTACCAGACTGCTCACCTGCTCATCCATGAACTATTTACACACACACCCACACACACCAACACACACACACACAGACGAGCACTAATTGTCAAGCTCGTTTCGTTTGTAAGTTCGCTCACCTTGAAATTCACTCAGTATTGCAACAAACAAAAAAAAAAAACATATATATCGTACATAAAGGTACAACTATATCGGTCATATTATAATGCGAAAAAAAGAACTTAATAAATTAAATGCACAAATGCCGTGAATCGTAAAGACTGACAAAGACAAACAAAAATGTAAATGAAATGAGTAAAACAAAAAAAAAACAAAGAAAATTAATTGAAAAATTCAAATATATGAGAACTTCAAATGCAACACCAGACCAGCAGACAAAACAGTATTATATATACACACTATATATATATATATAAATATACACCAGATATGTGTATGGGAATCAGATGAGCCCAGACTCTGAACTTGCAATAATTCCATGGCCGAGACACACGTAACACACACAATAAAAAGCACGCAACGATGAGCAACAAAATGTAGGAAAACAAACAAAACAAAAAAAAAAACAAAAAACAAAACTAAAAATAAAAAAATGAAAACTTAATAATTATACAAGCACTGAATTTATATATAGTATATGAACTCTATATGCATAGTTTGTGGAGTATATATACTGAACCGTTTAGGGTTCCAGGCAGCAGCATTACTTACTTTATATTTACGATGTTGGATATACACGAAGCACATTTTTTACGCTTCAGTTGCGAATTTTTGGGCGGATAGTGTAAAAGTATACCAATAGATTTTATCCAATCTTTTTGAATTGCATAAGCCAAAGCAACCACGAAGTAGAATTTCGGGCAGAAACATGCAAAAATATTCAATAATAAATTTAGTTTTGAAATTTCGAGAGACTAGAATAGCCGAAACGCCCTCCAAATTTCAGAGAATGTTTGATAATACAATTTCCAAAAAAAAACAACTTTTGCATGCAATAAAAAATGAAAAACGACAGAAAAATTCAAGAAATGCTCAATAAAACTTTACCAGGCAGCATTTGCTTTTGTAATTTGATAAAAAAAATCGGAATAACACGATTAACAGCAAAAGATAACGACAACAAACAAAAAACAAAACAAAAACAAAAAACAACTGTAAACGTTTACTAGTCATTAATAATTAATAATAAAAAAAAAGTGAAATATTTATATATATATTGAAGATTATGTATTTTTTATTAACACACTGACAAGCCAATATGCCAATATAATAAAATAACGCAAAATATTGGCAGCATTTTATACCCAGGCGCCCCCTTCCCTCAGAGAGACAGAGCCAGTTGAAAAGTATTATTAACGAATTATTATATTATGCTATAGCAAGTTGGTATTTATTATAATTAATTATATTGTATGTACAATTATTTGTATTAATATTATTGAATTTATTTTTTAGAAAAGTAGTGTGAAAATTGAGAAAGTACTAACAGAAAAAAAGAAGAAATAATTAATAAAAATAAACAAAGTAATAAAGCTGCCAAATGGATACTTTACTATAAAAAAATGTAACATTTGAGAAAAAATAAAAATAAATAAATGGTAAAGCAACAATAAACTCTTAACTAAAAGAAATATAATATCAGACCCAAAAGATAAGCGAATAACGTCGATTTTAGAGAGGTTTTCCATCATAGACATTTTTTGACAAGAAATCCTACTTTTGAGCAAACTTTCTAAAGCACTAACTAAACCAAGCCCCCAAAAAACTATATGTACATCCTACATTCTCATACATTCAGCTATACAAGGATTTAATGCTTGAGCAAACCACAAACACAAAATTAAAGTAAACAAAAATATGACGAATTACAATAACAATTCCAAAAACAAAAATAACACTCACCACACACATACATATGAATTAAAGAGCTATGAAATAAAATGTTTAGCACAGACAGAACAAAGCAAATGATATAATTTTTTAGCAAGAACAAATGAATTTTTAAAAAGTATATATATATATATATATATATATGAAATTAACATTAAACAATTAAAAACAAAAACAAAATTAAATAAAAATAGCATTGCAAATTTTGAGAAATATGAAAGAGATGCGTTTTAATTGCAAAGTTGAAATGGGCAGCTAGAAGATACACGTTGTAAAAGAATCTATCGACTATTTACTGGTTTAATTCAAAATCGTATGATTGGAAATTTATTGGTTTTACTTGTTGCATTTTTGATTTTATTACACATTCTTTCACAATTTGGACTTGTGCGTGTGTTGAGTGTGTGTGTGTTTGTTTGTTTGTGTGAACCAGATAAATATACAATTTATAAAGAGGAATTACAGTATTACAAAACACACGCTCCACAAAAATAAACTAAATAAACTTAGTAAACGAATCAGTAATGCGAACATTTTGTTCGACTTTTGCAGTAGGATTAAATGGGATTACAAAACAAACAAAATTAGATTGCATTATTTAAAGTACGTAAAACAAAAACAACAAAATTCACTGTATGTGTAAAGTTTTAGTTATTGTTTATCTGACAGTTATTCTAGTTTAGAGCTTTCCATTTCTTGTTGTTCTTCTTCTTGTTGTATTGCGAGTCATGAATTTGAAAAATTTAACAAAATATATATATACGTGACAATTATAATGTGTGTGGTTGTTTGCACTGTGAGTTCATTCAATTTGTGAAGAATTTCTTGTCTTTCTCTTCTCATAATCTCTACGAGCTGTTCTTGGCCCGTTCGCAGTCTAAGCCATATAACTATATTCGTCACCAGAGTTGGCAGTACGCTCAATATATTGTTTGTCAATTAACGATTCCACGCACTTCTTGATCATTGCTATGTTCGGCGTAAAACTGACTTTCGATAAGGATAGAACCTGTTGTGTAAGAGAATACATAAATTGTTAAGTTTATATTTTTATTTGGATATTAATTATGGTTTTTGTTATTTTTGGGCACCCACCTCCTGTATTAACGCATTGTGCTTTAACACCTTGCGCGCCTTCATAATACGTACAATGGCCGCTTGCAGAAACAGTTTACGATCCTCATCTACCGAATTGATCGTGTGCTCTACCTTTATGAATAATAATACAATAAAATATATTAAATGCATATGCATTGATGAGCACTTTTTGTGTGGCACTCACCTCCTGTGGCGTTTCCTTTTGTAACGCCGAACTAATCTTGAATTTCGTACGCTTATTTGTGTAATCCATATTCAGTTCGATACGCGTATCACCGGAGAGATTCTCTGAGCTGGCATTCAGCAGTTTGGACTCAATCATGGGCTGCATGTGCTTCTGATACGTTTCATCGTTCAATTGCAGCGTGTTTTGTATCTCACGACAACTCAACGTGTCGCAGGTCTCGAATAACAAGATGATCGCCATTTGGTACGTCTGCATTGTCACAATATACGATTTCTTCAGGTGACTCAGCTTCAGTTCGCCATGGCACATATGATGCAGCCATGTCAATTTACGGCCGCTGAACAAATTGTGATAATAATCCTCAAACTATGCGAATACAAAAATAAAAGCATTAATCAAATTATTGACAAATTTAAAACATTTTTGTTGTTTGGCAAACGCACCATTTTGATGGACTTTTCAAATTCCTGGGGCACTGCAAAGGGTATAACCTGTGTGGAGCCCAAGGGCCAAGCGCCCGCCTGCAGCACTTTAATTGACAGATTGATGCCTGCAAAACAAAAAAGAAACATTAATAATAATAAACATATACAGTTAGCACTGATGCCGATTGACAGACTGATGGGTTTATTATTCTGGGGGGAGAATATATTTTTAGTATGCTTCAAATTTTAAATTGATAACTTCGCATTTCACGCTTTGTGGAAAATCAATTTAAGAGGTTGGAAAGTATGTTTATGCATGACTCATTAGACGGTATTGTATAATACATGCCCAGATCAATGTCGTTGTCCTTTAAGTGATTGTTGAACTTGTTATTTAGATCTGTGGATACAGAAATATCCGTGAACATGCGATGCAGTTTATTGGTGAACTCATAGCCGCAAGCTTGCTGCAATATATAAATAAATAAATATATATATATATCTATTTTCAATATTTAATAATTGAAAACTGACCTTCAAGCGATTGATCATGCCCTCCTCGGCGTCCATGCTCTGGCTCTGTTCGTGGATGAGTCGCTTGGCTAGCAGTCTGCTGTAGAACTTTTGATAGACATCCTTGTCCTCGATGTATTTGAATATGGTTATGTTGTTGGTGAGTTTCTGATCGATTTCCGCTTCGCAGGTCTTCGATTTTTTCAACAGTGTATCACAGTATTTGGCCACATATTCAGCGCTGCGACATGGCTGCCGTTCGCTGGGTCGTCGATTAATGACACTGGCGCAGGCCTTGTCCAGCGCACTCAGAAATAGCGAATCGTTCTCAAAAACATCGGCGATTAGCTCCTGATACTTGTGGTGCACCTTCAGCATATTCTCGACGAACGCAATGTGGATGTTCTCGCCTTTGAGCGCATACACCGTTTCCAGGCCCTCGTTTTTGATGTGCTCGAGAAATGTTTGTATCAGTTCCGCCTTTAGGTTATCAGGTATGGGCTTCAGCACGATATACATGTTGCGCAGATCCTGCCGCCGCTCATCCGATACCATATCGCGGCACTCCGAGTAGATGAAACCCAATCGATCGTTGATAAACTTCCATTCGCACATTTTACGCAACTTGGGCAACGAGCTGACGTGTAAGAATTTTTGCGCCCGCTTGCTCTCGAACTCCAGGATCTTAATGACCTCCTGCATGTATTGGGAGACGCTGCAGCGTTGCAGCAGCTTGTTCGCCTCGTTCGTGTAGTAAGTGCCGCTCGCCTCCAGCATGGGCTGTTCGAAGAGCTCCTGATAGAGTTTCAGAGAGCCAGTCTTCTTATAATCCTGCACCTCCACAAAGCTGTGTATGACGCCATTGATGACCTTTACGCGATGCGAATCCAATGTCCCATTGCTGTCCCGATCCGCCGCAATGCCCTCCAGTATGTGACGCACCAGCTCCTGGGCCAAATACTCAACCATATAGAGGCGCCAAATGTCCAGGCCAAGTTCACCGATTTCCATTTGATCGGCTGCATCGCTGGACAGATTGCCATAAAATGATTCCGTATCGGTGATCTTTTGCTTCTTGATGTGCTGCTGGTTTAGATAGCTGCCAAACAACAGACCGAACAATATATTAGAGGAGCAATCGTGGATTTAAGCAGCAAGCACAACTTACATATAGAGCTGGTGTAGATATTTAATGCCCTGGCTGTACTCCACCCAGGTGGTATAGTATCGTTGCAGCAAATCGGGCCTGCTGCTCGTGTTGTTCGCATTGGTCGCATCGTGCTCCGCCAGCACCTTCTTGGCCAGCATCTCCTGTACGTGCGATTCAAGGAAGTGCTTTGTCTCGTTATACAGTTGATCTGCCATCGGTTCCGGCTGCGCCACGCATAGCGTATAAACGTCGCTGCATAGATTCGTATTCAAAAGTATAATATAAATATACATATATATATATATATATACATGTGTGTGTGTGTGTGAATGATGAGTATTCAAATTGAAAACATCTCAAATGTGCATGTGTATTTGTTAAAGAACATTTTTCTTTTTTGGCAAATCATGCTGCGACGCACAGTGGGCCACAAACTGTTCATTGCATTACAAATGTAAATCTTTAAATGTCTATAAAACTAGTTTCTAGCACTTACGATATGACAAAACAAAAGATATTCAATATTAAAAAATTAGATTAAAATGCTGACTTTAGTTTAAGTATTTTTCTTTCAACATGTACCCACTGTGCATGTTGTTAGATCTGATATTTATAGAGTTTTTATTATTTAAACAATATTTTCCATTTTCCGTTCTATGGCAATGCGTTCGGCCCACTGTGCAACGTAAAGCGATACTCACCTGAAGCTAGTGTTCCAAACGGCGCGTTCAACTTTACTCAATGTTATCACGTCCTCGGCGACGCAACGCAAGCGCGGCCAGACATCAACAAATTCCACTATTTTTGGCTTGAGCGACATCTCCTCAGCTGCGTGTGTGTTGTGGATGTGTGTGTGTGTGTGAGTGTGGAAGGATGTGGACTATTTGCTGAGCTGTTTTTTTTTTTGGATTTAGTGGGTGGGCGATTGAGTGAAAACAATAATTAGCAGATCAGCATTGGCAGATGCGTTTTAACAAAGTGCAACACACGTTGCTGCTGTCTCACAATGATGACAATAGCAGCAACAACAACAACAGCAAACAGTGTAAACATTTGTTGTAAACGCGCATTTTGTTATAAATAATGAGAAAATTGCGTCGCCCCTCGTCGAACGTTGCGAGAGCAGGCATAATCAGCAGGGGCCCTAGGCCAAAAAAACTGAGGTAAAGACGACAACGGCCTCGGCACTTGCCAGCCACTTGGCCCCCAAAATGGCGGTGTGTTTGGCGTGGCAGCGTTTTGTGGTTCACTTACGCGCTTTTTAATTACACTATGCTCTAATGAATAATGCGTAAATTTCGGTTTTTTGCACTTTTTTTACAATCCAAAATGAACTCTTATGTTACGGCGACAGAGTTGCCAGTCCACTTCCATCGTTGACTGTGCGGCAATGCAACCCTGTAATAAGCTAATAGCGATAACGATGGCACGCCACACCGATATCTGTCATCAATTCATATCGAATATGATGTGGCATTATCGAGTATTCTACAGCTGTTGCCGCAATCAACCCTAAATACGCGCACTATTTGAATAACACAGTTTTCGTATATGTTCGTATTTATAAATGTGAATAACTCGAAATAATTACAAAATGTATGTAGATTTATAAGTTTTTCATTTATTTTTTTTCTATAATTCGCTAATTATTTGTTATTTTTTTGTTTGTTTTGTTATTTAAATTATATAAAAGTGCATTATTAGATTTACTGTTAATAGCTTAAAACACAACACTTAAAACGTAATGACTAAATTTTCTTTGTTTTGCTTTTATTTTGCTAGTTAGTTTTTCCAAATTGCAAATTAAATTAGAATTTATATTATAAGGATACCAGATTTCACAGTTAATCAACCTTTAACTTACATAATTTTCGTTGATTGTCATGCTTTAAGCCATTAATAAATTAATAAAGAATTCTTCTGAGAGGAGTGGGAGGTATAGCTAACAAAATGTATGGATAAAAATGCTTAAAAACTGGAATTGCTGTTCGATTTTAAATATATTGATGCTATTTGTTGTTGTTTGTTGTTTATGCTATGTAAGTTCGTTTGTAGATTGTTTCTTTACTAATTCGTTGAAGTTGTCTAGTAAACATGCGACGCTCTATATATTTATATATGCTAATGTATATATGTGTGTAATGCATATTTATGTTTTTATGTTTCTATGTTAACGTTTGGAGTCTATTTTCTGCTGGGCAATATGCATGCATAATTCATCTCCCCTCGGTTCGCCTTCTTCTGTTGCTCTTTTACTAAATAGGACATGGTTTATTGCTATTAACTAAAACTAAATGATTACAATTATTTAGCATTAAACTAGTACATACATTTGTTATATTATTTCATTATTATTATCATTAATTTTTTGCTTTCTTTTTTCCTTTTTTTTTGTTGGAATTTTTTGCTGCTTTTGGACTTGCTTGTGGGTTGCATTTGTGTGGTGGGATTCGGATTCTCAATTTAAATGTATAATTTATGTAAATATTTCGACTTAGTCTACATATTTGCATTATGTATGTATGTATTTAATTTGTAGTTAATTAATTTATAGTTAGTTTTAAGCGCATTTCGTATGCAAAATCTTTTCACTTAGAGATTTGGTTTTTGGTTTTTGTTTGCGAAATTGATGCAAGTAGTATATTTTTGTTTGTTGTATTTTGTTTTTTTGTTTTGCTAATTCCTAAATTGAAATATAAATTGATTTCAACTACACATCGACTAATAATTGTTGTAAAGCAAATGAATTGTTATGTTACAGTTTCATTAAATGTAAATTAAATAACAATTTGTTTAAAACAAAACACTCACAATAATTCGAATACTTAGTTATAGTTATATACTTGTTTTAGGTACACAGTTTACAAACTTTTCAAAAGCAGAGAGCAGTTACACACACGCACACACACACACACACGCACACACGACACACACACACACACACACACAAATACACACAACTAAAGATGATCCGACTTTAATCGTCGTCTCGAATGTTTTTTTTAAAATGTTTTTTTCTTTTGTTTAGCAGAATATCACACGAATATAGGCAAACCAAATTTAGCAAGTATAACAGTTGTCTAACAGTTAACTCTTTGTTCACACACACACACACACGCACACACACACACACACTCACTCACACATACACAGATTTTATGTTTGGTTTCTTACTCCAACAACGATTGAGATTCGCCCACTGTGCCATTACTCAGACAGGATTCGGTGGCAGCTGCTTCCGTTGCTGCATCCTTCGCTTTAAGCTTCAGCAGCGGTGTCTTAATATCCGCCTCCAGCTCCGTGCTGCACTCAAGATTACTAACGGGAGCAGTTCCTGTTTCTGCACCCTCCTCAGCGCCATGCAATTCAATGGCCGCCTTGGGCACTGCTGCTGTGCTGCTCTCCGATTTACCCTGAAAAGTAAATGGATTTGTATTCGAAAGCAATTACATTTCAATTCGGGAATGAAGCCACCACCTGCAAATAGTAGGTCATTAGCTGGCCCTTGCCCTTGACGACGACCAGGCCGCGTTGCTGGAACATATAGCCAAATGGTTCGAGTATCTTGCAGGTCTCCTCGGTGACCTGGACAGCGCCCGCTTTGCCAGTGCTCTCCATGCGCGACGCCACATTCACCGTATTGCCCCAGATATCGTAGTGTGGCTTCCGGGCGCCAATCACACCAGCCGTTATCGGTCCATGATTGATGCCCATTTTCAATACGAAATGATTGAAGGACTGCTCATTGATGCCCTGCAGCGCATGCTTCAGCTCCAAGGCAAACTCCACGAGCACGGCCAGATGGGACCAGCGTTCGGTAATTGGTGCATCGTTGCGCAGATTGCGCTGCAAATTAATCCCACTGGCCGCCATATACGTGGATCCAATGGTCTTGATTTTAATTATGTCCTGGAATTGTGGCAATTCCAGCAGCTAGAAATTTAGAGTGGCTGTTGGTATTTATAGATTAAAATAATATTATTCTTAGTTATACCGCATCGAAGTCAGAGATGACCTCATTGAGAAAACGCAGACACTCCAAGCCCTGATTGTTAACTGTTTCCTCCGAGTAAAAGTCTGCAAGTGAAGCATAAACTCAATTACTATTTACATCGAAATGATGAATGCAAAAATCTGCAAATTACCTGAAAAGTTGGGCATGCTGGCAAATAGAACGCCCACCTCGGCATAGCTCTGGGAGTAGAGATCGTCATGGGAACGCTTTGTGTTCTTCATAAAATGCTCGGCGACGTGCACCGGCAACACATTGTAGACCAATGCCTCATTTCGTTGTCGCATATCGTTGGCGGTTTCCTTCTGTTCGGCCACCTCGGTTTTCCATTTGAAGATTACGCGATCCTCATGATCCATCTGAAAGTTATTCGATTCAATTCGGATGGGAATTGGAGCACATGGCAAACAAGTTCCAAATGAGCCTGAGCCTTTTTCAGTGGTAAATCCTACTGGAAACTGTACTCCGTCCTCTCATCAAGTTAATTATGTATAATTTGTGAAACCTTTTCCCCCATTTAATAATATTTTCACAACATTTTCATAAAGTAATTTTGTCTTAAGAAAAATTAATAGGGTTTCTTTCATTTATGAAGCTCTTATTCAACCAGCTTCTATCTGAAGACTTTCAAAATAAGTTTGAAGATAGTTTAATAAAGAATTCCACTTTCATCCATTCAACCTTGACCACTCCATTTAAATAAAGTTCATGTTAACTGTAAGTTATGTTTATGTGTTAGACTTCCTCAGTTTTTAAGCTATCTTCTTGAAAGTTTCAAGATATCCGCAGATATCCGTTAATATCTATATTCCAGCACAGATAACAGGGTATCTTTTCTATACTCACATGACGCGCCAGAAAGCTGAGCGACAATGCGGCAACCAGTAGCAGACCTGAGGCACAGTAACGTGTTGATATGAGTCTGAAAGACATGGACACAAATGCAGTTGTGATAAGTAAATACCAAAAAAAAAAGAAAGAAACTTTAATGGCATTAAATAAAAATACTACACCTTACTATAACAAACCCAAGTCCAAACACAACATAAATATTAAATAATTTTCTTAATGTAAATCTTACGGCTGATTTGCTAGATCATCTTCCAGTACGTATAAATCCTGCATGATGCACACATTAAAATAGCAATGTAGAGCTGCAAGGAACATATAATAAATGATAGTAAAATTATTCCCAATATCATCATCGACAATTACCAGCAATGGACAAGAGCAGCAAGATCTTGGTCAAATGGGTGAGCTGAGCAATCACAGCGATTGCGATGAGTATAAGGACACTGAAGTTGCTCAGATAGGACGGATATAGGACACGTTCGGTTGGCACCGCGTCCCGCATTTGCTCCACAAAGGATTCGGGAAGTAGGTGCTCGGCGGTGACCACCTCCTCCAGTCCGGCCGTGGCATTGAATTCACTCTCGCTCACAATGTGCTCGGTGCGAACGAAGGTGACAAAGAAGAACTGCAAGAGTCGCAAGTGTTACACATAAAATCAATAAGGACTTGAGCTACTACAACTACTACAACTACTACTACCAACCATGTCGATGACGTTGCTCAGCCCAATGGTGAGTGCTATAATTATGGCCGCCAGTTCGCGCACGAAGGTAATGTCATTGAATCGCTTGCTCACGTCCACAAAGAACTTGGGCAGCATGCCACCAAAGCTTTCCGCAATGCTAATTGCCACCAGCATTGCAATTGGCACCAGCGGTGCCGCAATATTAATGAAATGCAACGTCGAACGTGGCAACACCAGATAGGAGTACAACACATCGATGCACTGCACCAGCAATGCGGCCAGCAATGGCAGAGAGCTGTACGGTTCACGATAGACGGCATAGGCCTGTTCCAGCTGCGGGTTCTTGAAGCGCAGAAATATGTTTGTGTCCTTGGTCAGATTTCTGTCAAAAAAAAGAGAGCAGCATTTTAGCAGACAATTTCAATTGGGAATTAGTAAATACTTTTTGAAACCCGGATTATTTAAAAGTGAACAATGTAATTCAATAAATTATAAACACCATTGTATTTATTATTTATCGTTTTAATATTTGCTGTTTAAAAGTTAGCCCTCAAAAGATTGAGGTTTACAAAATGATAAGGGTTGATATGGCATATTAAAACCTACAATTAAAGATATTCGGTTCTTAAAATGGTTGGGTAGATACAGAAAACTATGCATAACAAAAATGCATTTTTGTAGACCAAATAATTTAAATTGTGTTCAATATTATCATGAAAACGAGAATAGATATCTTCTTTTCTTTTTTCTTTCAATGGATGCAAATTTTCTTGCCATAACATTTTCCATCAAATTGAAAATGCATAATTTATAAATAATTCATTGCAATTTTATAAGATTGTATATTTATGGGGACGTATATATCTTCGACAGACTGCCGATATTAAAAAAAGAAAAAGAATTGTATCTTTTGGCTTGGGCTTTAATTTAAATTGGAAGGCAACTCACTCATGTCCATCGCGTGTGACGAGCTCATCCTTCAAGCGCTGCTTGAAATTCTCCAGCTTGATTTGCTCCTCCTCATCCTCGGCGGCCGTTGGATTGTGTCCGTTGATGACGACGCTCTGGGCCAGCAGCTCCTCATCATCCAGGGTGGCATCATTGTCATCGCCAGCATTCTCGTTGCTATCGTTGCTGCTTGCATTCGAGTCGGGACTGTGATTGGCATCCTCCGACTTGGATTCGTTGATTTTCTTGCTGCACGGTGAGGCGAACTATGGCAGTATCGATATAGATATGGATGATATTTGGAACCTGGCATATTTTAAGTAGCTTGCACTCACCGGCTTAACCACTTTGGTAATGAAGTAGGTCTTTAGGCCCGCTATGCGAAGCAGTTCCTCGCGCTTCTCACCAAAGGCGGGCTCCACCTCGAACTCGCCATTGAGGAAGGCCAATGTCTTGTCGGAAATGTGCACGCGTCTATCAAAGGAACAACCACGGGTTAAAAGGTGTGTGTGTGTGTGTGTGTGTGTTGAGTGTGTGTCAATCAATTTGCATATTGAAGTGACAAGGAGAAATCATAACGTGACCAGGCCATGACCATCATCATCAATTATGCAAATAGTATAGTTGAGCGACTCACCCGGCCTTGCCGCTCGACTCCATTTTATTAGCCAGCTCAACGTCCTTGGAGTAAACGTCAAACTGCCACTGACGCTGGCCAAGAATGCCGGCCAGGACAGCTCCCGTGTGTATGCCCACACGCATATCAACAGGTGAGTTCGCCTTCTGTTGCACATATCTGTGTGGCAGTGAATAAGTCGATGTACAAATACACTAAGTCCTGGAGGACCAGGCGACCGCAGCGGACGACAGGACGACAGGACAACAGGACAACAGGACGCGTGGTTAAGTGCAATTATATTTAATTGAACAAACGTTGATTTGACTTCGCCTGTCGTCGGTCGGCTTCCCATGTCTGTCCTCTGCGGTCCCCGGTGGACCGGCACATGCTCCACTCTACTCACTTGATGGCCTTCACCATTGAAAGTCCCATGTGTACACAGAGCACGGCATGATCCGGTCGCTCGTCGGGCGCTCCACTAATGCAATAATAGCAATCACCGAGAATTTTGATGCGCAGTTGTTGATACTTCTGTGGGGTGTAAAGTGTATGTGTGTGTGCGTGTGTGTGTGTGTGTGTGTGTGTGTGTGTGTGTGTGTGTGTGTTCAGGTAAGTGTGTTTAAGTTAGTTGGTTAGTTATTGGTTATAACGAAGCGAGCTAATCGACCTGTAATTGCGCCTTTCGATGGTGAACAATGGTAATTCATGGGTATGGTAAAATTAGCTTAATTACAGGGAATTATTAATCAATAGCACCAAAAAAATATAGATAATCAGATAATAAATAAATCCGTATTGTAAAAGGGTAAATCCTGTTCAAAGGATAACTGATGCATTAGGCGTATTCAAGAGATAGTTGAGACAGTTTTTCACTGAGGTGAACATAAAATTTATACAATTTATACAAACTACTTTCAAGCTGCTATTTCAAAATAAGAACTAATTAAAAACTTTTAATGTAAAATATAAATAATATAAATGAAATATGAAATTAATATTTTCATTTATTATATCTTTTGTAAAATGTAAGAAAAATTAAGTAGTTCAATTCACGTTGTTTACTTTTTGAAGCCTCCCAAAAACCAGATTTAAGAAACTTCAAAAATTTGTAGTTTTCATTAAAAACAATCAACAAAAAAAATTATAAACTATTATTTTTAAGTAAATTTCCAAATTCGCGAATAACAACATATATTATATTTCATAAGGCTTTATGGCGTTTTTAAACATGTGAAGAACGTGATAGAAAAATAAAATACCGCAAATCAAAACTAAAATTGAGCAGGGGCTTTCAACCCGTCCAAAACATGATGAAATGAACCGAAAACGCTGCAAACGAATGAAAATAAAGTTGAGAAAAAGAGTAAAATAAACACCCGCAAATCAGTGAAAAGGAAAACACACAAAAGTCGACGACCCAAGTCCGGAAAAAAAACAAACTGCACCAAATTAACTGGACCTAAATTTAAAGGACCTTTAGCCAAACCCGAAAATCGCATTGGAGCAAAAATCAACTCAACACATTTCACACGGCTGACTGAGCCTCACTTTTGTTACCAACGCCCAAGTCCCGCAACAATACAAAAAAAAAATGGCCCCCTCCCACTACTTAAAAAGAGAAATAAAAACATTAGAAATGCGGCGCCCAAAAAGAACACAGAGATGGATAAGAAGAAGAATTTAAATTAATGTTTGGAATACGCAATTGAAGGAAATGAGAGAAAGAAAGAAGAAGAAGAACAATAAATGCTGTGCGATGCTTATCTTAAAACATCATAATTATCATTACAAGCGATTGTTATGGGGGCAGGTGAACGAAGAAGAACAGCTGGCAAAAGAGCAAACAGAAAAGCAAACAGAAGCAATGGCAAAACGAAACGAGACGAAACGAAACGAGACGAAACGAAACAGAACGAAACTTGTTTCTCTTTACCTCGGCGAGCCTATCGAAGCGTGCGAAGAGCTCGTTTAGCATTTTCACCAGATCTTGGGCGCTATACGTCGAGGAGATGGCGGTGAAACCGACAATGTCCGCATACAGTATGCTTTTATTTTTTTTTTTAGGTTTTTTTTTTTTTTTGTGTGTGCGAAAAAGAACATAATGGTTAAAACGCTTGCCACGTGGCTTTCATGGGGTTTTTCAAATCAAATCTATGCATGTATTAGTAATGAGCCGATTATTAAATATACACAGGAAATCTATTCAACTATGCAAATATCAATTTATGCAGAAATAACTTAATCCAATTATAAACTTAATTTCTATTTAAATAGTCGCTTTAGTATTTGGTGTGAATTAGATTTATGGGCAGCACTAATATTTAATGAGCTGATTAAGTGTTAGATAACATTTTATGCTCTTTGTTCTCCTTTTCCATTTTTTGTCTTTATATTTACAATATAAACAATACAAAATTAATTGGTAAAAATATATACTTTTTACACTTTCTGAATTCATATTCTAAAAATTAAACTACGGTTCTTGATTCAAGAATACATCTTTCTAGAATGCAAAGCATTGAATTTAAAAATACAGCCTCGATTCATGTAATTAATAATTGATTCTAAAAACTAACATACGAATATTGAATTCAAGAATATTTCATTGCCAAATAGAAAACCTTAAATTACAAAATTTAACCTCACTTAAAGATCCACAATCTAAATTCGGGTTGGTTCAATCTAAATTTCTGCAGATACATTTTCATTTTGAATCAATATAATAGTTTGGAGTTTAGAGAAAAGATTCTCTGTGCCTATCTCGATTTCCGTTTCTATACAAATAAAAAATAAGCAATTTATTCCATATGCTTACCTAACATTCTCATGCCGACTCATGTAGATCTTTTTGAATGCCTCCGAGCTGGATGAGCCCAAATCCTCGCGCATCTTAATGGCCACGTGCTTGGGCAGCACAGATAATAGCAAACGTTCCTTTAACAAATATATATAAATATGTATTCAGTTAGAAATAGATACATTGCACTAGGCAGATGAAGAAAACACACACCTGCTCCGCCGACTGCTCCTCGATGACCATCTTAACTTCCAGACTCTTCTTGGCCTCCAAAAAGGCACGCTTCTGCTTGGCCTCGCCCATAAAGTAATACAATAGGCCAATTAACGCCGCGGTCGCTATCAAAACCGCATTAGCCGCCGCCTGATCGGAGATTAACCGATCCGGCCGTGAGAAGCCCACCGGCAGACTCAGGCAATTGAAGTACGTGCAAAAGCCAATGACTAAGCCCAGAAAAATCAGTGGCAATGGCAGCGTCACATATATCAGAAAGTTTAACAATATGGCCCAGCCGAGTACATCCCTAAAAAAAACACAGAGATTGCACAACTTAATAATGGGGCGGCTTTGGATTGATACACTCAAAAAAATTGCCAAAAAAAAACGTATTTTTCTAATATTAATGCTTGTTGCTTTCTTAAAGTTCGCGTTTGCATTTTTTAAAATGTTTTTCTTAAGTATAGAAAATATTTCTAAATTTATAGAAATTATTTGGAGCGATTTTTTTCTGAGTGTATAGTTCATATTGGTACTTACCGCGGCGAGAAGCTGTCCTGCAGCATCACATAGGCGGCGAAATGGAGCATCGACAGAAACCACAGGGCACGTGGCACAATCGTCAGCAACGATTGGTGGAAGCGTCTCAATGAGGGCTGCTCCGAACCACGTCCAATGTGCAACAGAGCCGTTAGCGCCATGTAGGCCAACAACATGCTGCAGTTCACCACTGAGCAGATGGAAGTAAAACAATTTATAATAATTAGTTATTCGAATTTATAAAAATAATTTGATATTGCTTATTTGCAAATAACTAAAAGCAAGACAAATATTAGATTAGAATTCAGCAATTATAAATGCAAACCCGGCTCATAGTTCTCGAAATAAATACTTTTAGTAAAATGAACACAAACGGACTTTACAACAACTAGTAAATAATAATGAAATATGTTTATTTTTTAACTTTTTTTAAAGTACACATTTTAAAATAATTATTAAATACATTAATAAGCCAAGAATTCAGAGAAACAAGCTGGTGTGCTGTATTCAGATATACGAGTATAATCTGCATTCAAGGCTCTCATTTCTGCAGTTCTGAGAATAATTCTAAGAAACCAAATCGGAATCTCTTTATTTTGCATTATTATCTGGAGAGAGTTTTAGCTCATGTTCACAGATTGAGATTCAGGATTGAAGTTAAGTTTGTTGTATAACTCAATTAACCCTTTGAGATGGTTAGGCAACTATTTATGGGAATCACCAATGTACGTTTAATTCTGTTAAATATATATATTTTTTATTTGTATATATTATTTTTTCGCAACAGTATATATATTTATTATTTATCTTATTTTTAGTTTGTTATTTATTTGTAACTTGAATTTTAAATTTAAATTTGCATTTACTAAAACCATTTTCAAAAAATGTTGACTGTCTTTAGACCACAATAAATAATTAAATAAGTAAATTATTCACATTCCTCATTTTGGATGTCTCTTTTAAGTCTAAAAAAGACTTGCACAGACATCGTCTAAATCAATATAAAGGATATATGTAATTCGCAGCTGTTTAAATGCAGCACCAAACAGAGCTCGAACAAATCTCGAGTAATATGACCCATGAGTAAGATTTGAATGGTTGGGTGCACATGTGCAATTTATAGAACTGGAACTCACCCCGGGTGGGCAGGGCCTGCTCCCATGGTATGCAAATCGTCCACAGATTGAAGAGGACGGCCGCAAATAGGAACCACTTGAGGCCGCTGCGTCGCTGCTTGATGGAATAGTTGTGATAGAGTTCGTTGAGTACGTGCTGGGGCAGGATGACCACACCGCCACCGGTGATGCCCACACCACCGGCGACGACGTCCCCCTCATTGGGTGGCCGTCGGCGTGTTGGGGTCTTCTGGCGTTTGGCCTTCTGGCTGTGGCTGGGTGTGGATGCTGCCGTTGTCTGGCCATTCTCAAGATTGGATGCCTTCTCTTCCGGCATGTTGCGAGGTCTTTATTTCTTTCTGTCGTTGTCGTTGATCGCCGCCCTCCGGTTTATAAATGGAGTGTGCTCATTTCCGCTTTGGCGTCGCCCTATCTTCACTTAATTTATAAATATATATATAAATACATACATATATATTTACGAAGGGGAGCACTGCTGGAGCTGTGTGAGACGCGTAGGTAAATAGAAACAATAATATAAAGCACAAACTCAAATACGCAACTTGTACACAAAACACAAACGTTAACGGTAAATTTGAGACTTAACATTGCCGATTGCCACCGCCATCTCTCACTCTCTCTCTCTCACACACTCTCTAAATATAAGTTTGAGTGTGTGTGTGTGTGTGTGAGTGAGCACCAAGGCGGAAGCGTCCTTGTACGAGAGCCCTGAGCGTGGCCCTGTGATTGTGTTTGTGCATGTGTGTGTGTGTGTGAGTGTGAGAGAATGTGTGTGTGTGTGTGTGTGTGTGTGTCTGTGTGGTTGTGTCTGCCTTAATCTAAAAGCTCCTGTCGCCGAAAGACAGTGGAATGGGCTCCATTGAATTTAGTACACAATTCCAATATGTTCCAAACTACTTTTCTATTTAATCGTTTGAATCCCTGTAATTAGTTCTTATCTATAAAAAAAAAATTATTTCAGCTGAATGGTAAAATATTAATTCCAACATAAATATGTACGTTATTTTGTAGTTATCAAAGTATTTTGAGCTGTCTGAAGTAGTCTAAACATTTAAACATCAAATATAATTTATAAAATGTAACAACCAAGTTAATAGGTTTTACTCACAGTGCATTCTTGATGATTATATCCACTAACTTCGAAGGCAGTATTATTGATTCTATTCACTATCATATCAATGGCAATCTCATTAAATAAATACTTTTGAAGCATGCCTAAAACCCTTTTTGTGTTATTAGTTTATCTTATCATTTTATTATAATTTATACGATTTGTTTTCGCAAATATATAACACATAAATATTATTACTCAAAATATTTATATTGATTTTCTTTATTATCAATTTCATTGAAAATGTATTTTTAAAATAAATTTTATGTGCATGTTTTATCTTATCACAAGATAAGATAGAAGACCTTAAAAGTTATTTGTGAACATCGCTCAAATATTAAAGCTCAATAATTTATATTAAAATTGAAAGTAGGTCTCTAAGTAAAGAGTGAAAAATATATCATCGTAATATAAATTGTTAGTCTTGATACAAGATTACTTAATTTTTTAAGTTAAAATCTGTAATAAAGAATTTTAAACTCCACTTAAAAAGTAGTAAAATCTTAGAATTTTGAGACTCTGTTAACTTTAAATACGTTTTATAGTTAAATCGAATTAATATTCTTTCCAGTTTTAGGGAAATAGGATCCTGGAACCATCTAGAATTTTAATCTTGAGCCAAATGTAAATTGAGATATCAAATTTTTATGCATAGCGCTTAATAACCATTTGCATAAATTATGACATTTTTTTTATTATTTTTTTTTTTCAGCCACATTCTGTATGCGCTCACACCACAGTATTATTTCCTTCCTACCCGCTCGCACTCTCTCTCTGTCTCGCTCACTCCTGTGTACGTGTGTGTGTTTGTGTGTGTGTTGCTTTCTCTTTTGTGCTACCTGAAGCTGAGTTGTTGTTTCCTCTTCACTTAGCTGTCGTATCCTTATTGCCGAATTCGTTGCTTCATTTCTTGGCATACAAAAATCCTTTACTTTCTAGCTATGCTCTTGGATATTCATATACACAATGTGTATGTGTGTGTGTGTGTGTGTGTGTAGCTGGCTGTATGTGTTTATCTATGTGTGTTTAAGGCTGATTTGCTCAAGGTTCGTTTTAATGCGTTCTGATTTTGTTTGTGTGCGTGTGTCTGTATGGGTGTCTGTATGTGTGTGTGTGTATTTGTGGTTGTGTGTGAGTGTGTACACAATTTATGCATTTGCAGACAATTTCGTATCTTATTTTAATTGCAATCAACAACAACAAAAAATATTGAAGCACATTTTTCGGTTTTCTTTTCTCGTTTTGGAGGCTGCGATAACGATTTTAAGCATGTACAGAAAAGAAAATTCTTTCCATACAGCTGTGAGCTGCACACACTTTTCGTCATTTACACATTTTTCACTTTTCACACGCAATATTTTAATCGAATATGGATACCATTTCAAATACTTTAATTGAATTTATTAACCTCTTTTTTTTGCAAAAAACAATTTGTTTTTTTATTGCTGCTGCTGCTGCTGCTTTGGCTGCTGCTGCTGCTGCTGCGGAGCAACTTTTGTCACAAAAGCGACGCGCACGCGAATTTCTGCAACTAAACTAAGACGCACGATAAACTTGACTGATTGTTAAGTGAAAATTTTTGACAGTCAACAGCCCAACAGCTCAGCCAGCAGCAGCAGCAGTAGCACCAGCACCAACAAGGACTTTTCATAAGCGCCAGCCGCTCTCTCAGCTACGCTCTCTCTTCTCTCTCTCTCCCTTTAACTTGGAGTGAGCTTTTGTCTCGCAAGCTCTGTGAGCGCATGTCTGCGAGAGCAAAAGAGTGAGAGAGCGAGAGAGAGAGCGCAGAAAAGCGCATACAACTGATAACGGTACAGCTGTGCAGCATGATAACGCAATGTGCAACGACTGTTAATGTGCGTGTGTGCGCGTGTGTGTGTGTGTAAAAGGACCTCTTACTCATGCTCCAGCTTGATTACTCAAATTGCCGCAGGCCCATAAAATTAATTATTAAGAAATGTTACTAAAATGGCTATCAACGACAACGGCAACAGCGCAGTCGACGGCAGCAGCAGCAGCAACAGAAACAAAAAAAGAAGAAGAAATACAGCACCTGGCCTTGAGTTCTCCACAGGATGCAGCTGTGCATTTGCCTGTGTGTGTTGCTGTGTGTGTGTGTGTGTTTGTGTTTAAATTGAAAATGTAATGCACGCTGAAGAGGAATATGTGTGTTGAATTGAATGCAATTCATATATATTGCTGATAGTTCGATCCTCAATTAATTAACAATAAACTAAATATATAATTATATTTATATGCTTATACATATTTAATATAATGTTTAATAATGTAGTAATACCAAATTATTACATATGTAAATACATTATTAAGAATAAAATAACTATATAATTACACAATGATTATACGTAATTAAAATACTATTATTATTATAAAATATTATTATTATTATTACACGGTTTGTGTTAGTAGTTTGTTCATTAATTATTATTTTTAGAAGTCATCAAAATTACGGATGACACATCAAAAGTTGATTCTCATATACGGAACTATACAATAAATTTGAAATATAATACAAATATTTATGTATTCATCAATTATTCGAACAATTTTCCACCCAGTTTTCCAAGCCACAGTGAAAATATCGCTTTTGCATTTTGGGCTCAGATCGATTGATTATATTGACAAATATATTTGTATATTTATATACATACATATGTATATTGTATATATATATATATATTGTATACTCAAAGATCATGTTTTCTTTTCTTAATTTTCTATAAATATATTTTTGAACTAGTTACACACAAATTTATAAGATTCAAAAGATTTTGCAATTCCTGCTTAATCCGATTCTGTTAGAAATTAGGGTTTTTATATTTCGTTTATATTCTGTTTCAATTTTGCAACCAATATATATATATATATATATATACATATATATATATATATGTTGTGCTGACAAAAATGAAGCCGGAAAAACCTTGTCAAAAAAGGGCGCGCAGGGAAAATGTGAATTTAACTGGTAACCAGGCCAGGTAATAAAACATAAAAACAGCCGGCTGTCCTCTGACGTTTTCCTTAATCCAAAACGCACAGGACAATGGCACGTGATGCTGCTTAATCCATCTGTCTCAGGGTCAACTCAGACTCTCTCTGGCTACCTGAGCAAGTCGAGAAATACCGCACTGGAAAGTTGTAATTTCCGTTTGGAAAACTAAAGCAAATCGACCATTGCTTTGATTGATGTATTTCTACTTTTTTTGTGTACTTATGCATTTGTATTGACGTGTCGAACATTGTGTAAGTAGTAATTATCGATACTTTTTATAGCTACAGATCGATAATTTATAAGTGCCGCTTAATTATAGGGTTTAGTCTGTGACTAGAGTAGCCAATTTCATAAGGGGCGCCTGAATGGTATTTTTAGAATACATTTTATTTCAAGCAAATTTCATACATTTTAAATAAATAAAAGGTTTTTTTTTATAAATGAGGTTATATCTCCCCTCCCCGCCCTTGCATATAAATATTTTATTGTTTTATGTATTTGTATTTATAAGTAACTGTTGAAATCCACAAATGGAAATAATGCTAGAAGCTGACTGCAATTAAATAAACGCAGCACTTCCTGTTCTGTAAAATTCTTACGATTTGTAATGCGTCGAGGGAGGCTCCACAGAGCATCCTACAAATGGCAGCTGGCACGAGTCGATACCTGACTTGGGTTAAGATCAGATGTGTGGGTAAAAAATGCATTCGATGGAAAACTAATACATATGCACATACTCCAGAAAATACGTTTAAAACATTTGTGTGATTTAATAATACAAATACTAAAAATGCGTAGCCATGCAATCCCATTTTGTTCATATTATATATTATCAACATTAAAAAGGTACATATTATACATTATATATATTACATACTATTAACATTTGAATATAACGATGCATTGAATATGAAGTATATCATAAATCGCAATTGGTTATGTCATCGATATAAATGTATTGCTGCTCTACGCAAAACGGACGGAATTCTTTCTCACTTTAACCTAGATTCTTTCTGTATTGGCTGTTCCGTTCGCACTTTTCACCATTTTACATATTGTGATGCGACACACAATGTTCACCACTAAAGTGCCATTCTGAGCATAACATAATGTTAATTTACATTAAACAGTTATCGCTATCAGGATAAAAACCGATAAGCCGGCTTAAAATTATACAAATGTAAAGCATTTAGGGAATGAACCAAATCAAATGTTATGCTTAATGAGTAAAATGAATCTAAATATACCAGAAAATCTTAATTTTCGTTGTGTTGCTTGATCAAAAGCGCCATTTTATTGGGCTTTAGTTTGAAAAGATTGTAGGGGAAATTTATCGATGACAACTGTTTGGTTTTGAAAAACATCGATACCATGTTAATATACGTAGTGTATATAAAGTTACCTCAGCTTCTGTCTCTGTCTCATTCGGCGTTTTTCTGCGTAACTGTGTGGACGTTTTCCTGAACGGCAATCAAAAAAGTCTAGCAGACATTCAACTTTGTAAGCAGAGCTACCTTAAAAGTTGTCAAGCAAGAGAGCAATTTGCACAAATTTATGAAATTTGCAAATTCTGTTGAAACTCTACGTATTTGTTTTTTGAGAATCTAAAAGTCGTGTTTTGCGTACGCGTGCGAAAAGAACAAAAAAAAAAGCTAACAACTTTTCGCGCTTCTCTTTGAAAATTAAATTCTTAAAAAGTAAAATGGCTGATGTGGCTGACAAAAAGAAGTGAGTAATTTTATTTGAATTTGTGTGTAAATGTGTGTGTGCTCCTTAGCTGCTGGCCGTCTAAGCATACATGTGTGCGCTGAATTTGTTTAAACAATATATACGTAGCGGCAATTGCGGCTAGTTTTGCAAGTGGTGTACATCATTTTCTTCCAACGGCTTGGAAAAAATTTCTTTTTGAATTTTGTGTCTATCTGCGTAAAAGGTTGGAAAATGCAATAGAGTTGTCTCGCTCTCGCTAAGGCGGTTCAAATGTGCGCGCAAAAAACGACGCCGTTGAATTTGGCGCGGCGTCATGAGACTCTCTCGCTCACACTCCGGCCGGCAAACAGCAGCAGCGAGTTCGTCAGCAGCAGCAGTGCGGCGTGCTTTTGTTGTTGGTGGCTGCGGCTGTGAAGGCAAAGAAGTAATGTATTGAGCGTGTGTGTGTGTGTGTGGAGTGAGCAAATAAGTATGTATGTGTGTATGCACAAGTACATTTGTGTGTGAGAGAGCGCTGCAACTGTGTGAAGCATTCAAGTTGCCGCTCTTTTTTTTTTTTTCGTTTGTGTTTCAGCTGTCGTTTTGTCTGTCTGTCTCCCGTCTGTTTGCTTTTGCTGTTGCCGCTAGCCATTAATTTTTCGTCAATTCGTCTTTTGCACAATTTTCGCTTGTAGCTTAAAGCTTTTGCCTTGCTCTCTCTCTCTTGTTGTTCTTTTCTTTTCAATTCTACTTTGTTGTTTTGTGCTAATGAGCTGCTCAAATTGTGTTTCTCCAGGTATTTTGTCATTGCCGAAAATAATTTGTTTCATTGTCTGCGCTTTTTTTTAACTTCTCTTGCGTCGCAGCAGAAGCAAGAAGCAGAAGAGATAACCGTTAAAACCTTTTGTCTGTTGTCTTAGGTTGTGAAGGTGGGTGGGGGGAGGAGTGTGTATTGTCATATAGTGGGTGTTTGTGTGACCGTATATGTATATGTATTTTTGACCGTTATTTTTGCCGCTTTGCCTTGCGCTGCAATTCGCAGCGCGCACTCTCTCACTCGCTCTCCCTTGTGTACGTGACGCGTACGCATTTGAATCGTCAAAAGGTGTGCGAGGGAGACGCATGTAGTGTGTTCAAAGCATAAAAAACCAGTTTTTTTCTTCCTTTTGTTCGCACGTTCGTTGTATTTCAAACAAGTCGCGCTTCTTTTTTGCACGCTTTTTCCTCCGCCACCTCCTCGACACTCCTGAACATTTTATGCTATGTACACCTATTTTCCGCTTTGTAAAAAAAAAAAACAATTTAATATGAAAGCGCATGCCGCTCACCTTTTTTTTTTCTTCGCGTCCTCTTTTGCGTCGCAGTTTCCATGAGAGTTGTTGCTCCCATTTATCATTTGTGTGGTGGCAGATGCTTTTAATGTACGTGTGTGTATTGGTGTGTTTGTGCGTGTTGGCGTTGGTATACTTCTACTGCTGCTGGGGGTGGTTGTAATAACGCGGAAGCGGCGATGACGCCGGCTGTGGTGTTTGCTGCTTTTCATTTTCTGCCGGTTCCCCTATGTGTTTTATTTTTGCTCATTGCGTGTTTTTTGTTAAAAATTGCGAAATAAGTGTGCTTAAGGAATTCATGCTACATTGTTGAATTGTCCAACACAGGAATTAATTTGATCAATTTCCCTTCGCAGCGAGACCCCCGTGGTCGAGAAAGTTGCCGCCGAGGAGGTTGATGCTGTAAAGAAGGATACCGTCGCCGCTGCCGACGAAGCAGCAGCGACTGAGACACCGACAACCACAGAAAACGGTGCCGGTGGCGGTGAGGAGTCGAGCAGCAGCGCCGATGGCGCCAAGGAAAATGGCGCTGAAGCTTCATCCGCTGCCGCCGCCGATGCCGTTGATGGCGAGAAAAAGACCGAAGCAGCAACAGCTGCCGCAGATGAGAAGAAGAAGGAGGAGCAGAAGGATGCCGCTGAGGAGAAAACAGCTGAGGCCAAGCCAAGCAGCGAGGCATCAGCAGCTGCTGTTGAAAATGGCGCCGATGCCGCCGATGCATCAGCAGCAGCAGCAGAGGAGCCCGCCAATGGTGATTCAAAAGGTGAGTGCTACAACACTCCATTAATACTCTATTCTAACTGAGCTTTTTCTCTTTTTGTTGTTTCTTTTTCTGCTTGTTGATCGTTAGATGCGCCCGCCGCTGAAGCTGTAAAGCGAAAGGTTGAAGAAGCCGCCGCTGTCAAGGGGGGTGCTGATGATGTGGTTGCCACGCCGGAGAAGAAGGCGAAGCTGGACGAGGCTAGCACAAAGGATGACGTGCAGAACGGTGCCGAGGCCAGCGAGGTGGCTGCCTAAAAATGTCGCATCGTGTATCTCACCTCGCCCCTCCCCCTCACCATCCACCCCGCTCAGCAACAGCAGAAGCAGCAGCAGAACTACATATAAAATTACTAATACAAGAAATCACTCACACCAACAACAAATGCGCTAATCAACACACACACACACATACACAAAACACACACAACTATAACTGCAGCTGAATATGTGTCTGTGTGCGTGGCTGTGTATGCCTGTGTGCGTGTCTGCGCGCTTCTCTAATAACAATCCTGTAATGGGAGCGTAGTCTTAAAAAAAAAAAACAACAATTTAACGATTCTCTCTGACTTTACTAACAAAAACAAAACAAGAAACAAGCAAAATCCATTATCATTTAAAAATTTACTTAAACACAAAACAAAACTTAAATTTAAAGAAAAATCTATATATATATATAAACAGAAATAAGAAAAGCAAAAAAAAAAAACAAATACAATTTAGATGCGTTTTAAGCAATTATAAAACAAGCAAAAAACAAAGTTGTAAAAAAATAAAAGCATCAAATTTGATAATAAAAACAAAAAGAACGAAACAAAAAAAACAAAAAGAAAACACAAAAACAAGTCCTGTGCGTCAAAGTGTAAACGAAAAACAGATTTTAACTTAACGCATTTGTCATTTTTAAGATAATTTCTTCATTAATTTTATGTATGATCCTATATTATATATGAATATTTATATTTAAAAAAAAATGAAAGCTCTATGTTTAAAACTCGAAACAAATCCTAAAAACACCAACTACAACAACAAATCAAGTAACAGAAAGCTGCCTCCCACTTTTTTTTTCGAGAAAATACTTATACATATATACATAGAATTCAGAAAAAAAAAACATACATACATACAAGCATATATATATATATAAATATATACATAAATATATATATATATATATATATATATAATGAAATATGTCACATTTTTATATTGCAATCAAATCAACAACAAAACTGAACTCGCCAAACTTGAGCTGAGGAATTATATTTTAAATAATTGAAAAAAAAAACAAAAACAAACGAGCTGTACAATTTTCTCTTTCTGTCTTATACCTACACAATGTACTGTGTATTTTGTAGCTTAACTTGGCTAAGACTTGAAAACGATTTTAAGCATTTCCGTTTCTTGCATTTTAGTATCGTTGACTTTGTATGTATGTGAGTTCGTGTGTGTGTGTGGATTGTTATACAATAATTCTAACCCCCACCCCTTACTCCGCTCTCCAATCTGCATTTTTGAGTAACTGTTTTTTTTTAGTAAGGGCAGCAGCAGCAAAACTAACAATTTCTCTGACCAAACCATAGGCAATAAAACAAACACATGCAGAAAGAAAGGAGCAAAAGCAAATACATAATTCAAATTAGAGTAGAGCATGTGAAAATGGCAGAATTGAAAAACTTCAAAAGTAAACAGCGAGCAGCAGGCAGTAGCAAGAATAAGAAAATGGCTAACAAAGCGTAGCCAGCACAAAAGAAAAACGAAATACAAAATCCCAACAACAAAAACATTCGAGAACATTCACAAAAATAAATGGAACAACAAAAAACACATAAAAAGAGAACAAAAAAAAGTAAATTATTCTGTTTACTCTTGGGTTGGGTTTTTTTTTTGCACCTTTCTAGTAACTTCTAAAAGCTCTTTAAAGTTGCTCGCAAAGGTATGCATGTGTGTGCCATTGTGTGTAAGCACACGTCTGTGTGCGTTGGTGTAAATACGCATTTGCCTTGAGTGGGACGCGACTGTACAGCTTATGCAGAAATAGTCGCGGCTTATCAGCTAGCGTCGACGCACTTAAGCTTGCGTGTGCGAAGCTTGCATATTTTTTAAATGAGTAATAGTTTTAATCATTAATAAAATGTACATACATATATATGCACATTTGGTATAGTTTAATACGTATTTATTTGGCAGTGGTAAACTTACGGAAATAAATATGATCGCACCCGTGCAATGAATCATATTTTTCCAAGGCATTTGGCGAAACGTGAAAGCTTTCACGACGAAAGCTTTTCTAAGTAAGCTAGCGTTGAATCATCATAGCGAAAGCTTTCAAAAGCTAAAATTTTATAGCGTATTTTTCTGACCATGTAGCCCGAAACTTTTTTGCGAGCGCCGTTTAATAAGTACTCATCTAGAACTTGATACTAGCAAAACAAATTGAGAACTTCTGAATCCACCCTCCATTCACAATTATATGTAAATGCGAGCGTGCCAAAACGCATGGAGTTTGCTAGAAAAATATGCACAGGAGCTTTTGTAAACATATTTATTTAAAACGCAATTGATTGCCTTTGACGTAGAAAGCAAGACCATAAATCAAGCTGACTGTGTATTATGAAACTGAGAAGCAACGTAATCTAAACAGCCTGATAATTTTATTTGGAAAGTACAATTTTATTCTTACGTTGATTTGCATCAATATTTGAATAATAGCTGTCATAGCAAGCAGCCTTTAGCCGGTAGCCTGCTCCTAAAAAAGCAGATATCGCGATTACTGGCGCACAGTTGCAAAAGCTGGATCGCGGTAGACATGCTACTTGCAGAGTATCGATAACAGTATCGATTTTCACGTTTTTTGAAAAGTATTGATAAGATAAAGAATGAGCAGACATGTGAAACGCAATCGGCGCTCTCACACCAAAGCTCCGATCGCAGTAGCAAATGAAACGGGCGCGCAGATAGTTGTGGAATAGGTGTCGGAAACAGTGAAAATAAATACCGTTAAGCAAACAAAAACACGCACGAAATACGCCAATTTGTATTATTTTTGGTCGTAATTATATTTAGTACAAAAGTGAATTGTGTCAGTGGCTCGTGTAATTTTCTAATCGTTCTTATTATTGTTTTGAGTATTGTGGGGAGTGCGAAGTTAAATACACTCACCCACACATTGGTATTTAGTACTATTATTACATACCCTTTCGACTACGAACGCCAGCAAAGAGGCAGCAAAAGCAAACAGCCAATCAGGAATCAGTGTAGAGAGCGAGAGTGTGCAACACAAGATGTCAAACAATTTGCAAACGGTAAGTGTGAAGTGTCTGTTAACCTGTTTACCAATATAAATACATATGTGCATACACATACATATATATGCATGTATGTGTGCATTTCGTACGTTGACCGCCGTTTGTGTGTCATACATCGTAGTCTTCCCATGGTAAAACGCAATGCGATAAATAAAAGTTGAGTGCACTTTTGAGCTTTTTTTTAATACGTTTGTTTGGCTTTATTATTTATACATATTAAAAGCCTTATGTTGACTGTTGGCAAAGAATACACAATTTAAAAAAAAAAAATATAAGTTTAAAATTTCTGACATTGAAATTTCAGGAATTTTTGTACTTTTTGTCATCAGGAACATTTTTCCAAAGTCCTATTTATGTTTTTTTTTTTTTAATTTTTTAATTTTTAATTTGTTTGAAACATATATAAATTCTCAATATTTCTCACAAAAAAATAGCTGAAATTTTTGTGCTTATTTTTTATCAAGAAAATGTTTTCGAACACTTACTTTTTTTGTTTTATTTGTTTTTTAATTATTTATACAACTGTAACGCTGATGAGCTAGCTAGGAAAGGCACTCTATTGCCCGTCTTCACGGGTAAGGAAGGTATATGCCTCTGGCTCTCCATAAGCTTAAGATCAGAGAAGAAAACAGACGCAGGACTTAAGCACAAACACAGTAGTAATCTAAATCGTTTTTTATTGCGTATTTGAAGGGAATCCAAGTACATTGACATCAAACCAACAATCTTCAAGATAATAATCAAGCCCCATAAACACTTATTGCATCTACGACGTAGTCAAAAAAAATTTCAAGGGTATTCATGATTCGACTCGCTTTGCCATTGAAGGTTTTTCTGTCGTTTCTTTCGACTTTGTCTTTTATATTCTGATTCCTTGCTAATCGTTCAAGTGTAAAGCTTATCGCACGCTGCCTCGCTGCCACGCTGCAAATGTTTAAAAGGGTATGATGAAGTTAGCAAAAGTGTGTAACAGGCAGAAAATGTCCAGCTCATAACGAGCTTTTTTCCATTTGATCGATAATTCGTATATCGATACAAATCCATATTTTCGCTGGCACAAACAACGACGTAAGCCTCTACAAGGTATGTATGTATGTATATGTGTACATGCGTGCATGGTGAAGCGATACAAATATGTGTAGCTCTTTGTGTATGCATATTTTGCAGCTCACCGAGACGCGCGCACACACACACACACACATATATATATATATATATATATGCATATGTTAATATGTGCATGCAAATATTTTGTAGTCACGTGTTTTTTTGCTTTCAGTTTAGGTATGAAAACAACGTGCGGTGCCTTAAAATTTATTTTGACTTGATAAATAGAAATTGAGAAACCTTCTAGTGTGCAAAATTGGAAACCATGGCTTAATTGATTCGTTACGAGGGTATCAACCAGTCGAGATCACTCGACTAAAGCATTCTTACTGTTTTTTTTTTTATGTTTTTGTTTTTCTGTGATTATTAACTTGTTGCCATTAAGTTATTCGCGTTAATCGCTAACTATAACAGTCAATGGACGTCGCACGGTTTCTCTTTATGCGCGCAGCATTAAACAGCGCTGCTCGCTGTTACCGTTTTGGTTATAAAAAGTCGAGTATTTTGCTCCGCACCCCCTCCTCGCTTGACCCTGGTTCTTGTTGTTGTGGTGACTACTGCTGGTGGATTTGCCAGCTTCGACATAACAAGTCACGTGAAGGCGCTGTCGCTGACTCTGCTGCTGCGCAGCTGCAGAATTCTAGTCAGGTAATAGCGCTAAACAGTTTGTAATGTATTATATTTTATGCCTATTATGCATTTATTCCCTATTTTACATTATCTGTATATGAGAGGTTGTTGTTGATTGTGGGATTATTCCGTTTTATTTGTACTGCTGTGAATTAATGTGCTGGAATTACTAAATGACTAACAATTATTCATCACGCGAGATGTGATAATTATATAATTATTATTCTCAATTTTTTGCAAATCAATGTTATATTTTAGTTTTCGTAATCGTATATAATTTTATTGAATTTAAAGAAGAATACAATTATATTATCGAATTGCGAACGACTAAAATCAAGGATATATTTTTATTATCAAATTCATAGTTCATTTTCAAAATGACGTCTTCTGTAACGTAACTATTTGAAATATTATGTATTTAATTAATATCAAATTTCACAAAAATTTGTTATCAATTTTGTACTTTTAGTATTATATTCTAAAACTATGTAACAAATATTGAATATAACGGATAATTGTAGATAATAATAATATGACATTCAGTGTTTCAGTGTTCAGTCTATGAAAAATATATAAATAAATGTATACTCTAATGACATTGTGGATTATACTGCTCATTCAATGCATTTAGCGGTAAATTTATACATACAATTGATTTTATTGATATTACGTAAACAAATTTCCTGGGATTTCTTATGAACTGTTTGTGATTTCTTTGATTAGACTGTTGATTAGTGATCCTATAATTTGCTTGCTTCACACACGCGCTCGTTTTGCTATATCTTATCTGAATTTTATTGAATGTTTTTCGAAAATTTGGCAATTTGCAATTTCTGCTTATCAACTAAAGAGTATGTATTAGACTAAATGCATATTTTAGCTGACCTACTTATAGTCATGTTGATAAGGAAAGCAACATGCATGCAACATTCAATGACCTAATAATGAGTTAATACATTGAGCAAAATGTCTCGCCATTACAATTTTTTTATCGATTTTGCTGGTTTTCTCTACTTCTTTTCTGGACCTTTTAAGTACCACATTTTATTTCCTTGTGAAGAATTACTTCGGTTTCGCATTTTAGCTAGTCTGTCACACCGTCTTGCTGTAGGATAGGATATTAAAGATGGGTCTAACCACAGCTCTATCAGATATTTCCAAGCTTTCCCGAGTTAACGGATACTTCGAAGTGGATTCGCGCTAAAGTACCTTAGAGAACGAAATAAACTAAATGCCAATAATTAGTATCTGGCTACACTTATCTGTAAGCACTTGGACTTTTTAAGTGTTATGTGAATAGTGTTAGTGATACAATGTTATCGTTCATACATTGTATGAACGTAATTGTAGGACTGTCGCAAAATTTATAATGTAGAGAGTTCGTAGATCTTGCTACAAACTGGGCGCCACATGTTGCTGATAAGCCGAAAAGCTTCAACTGATAAGGCCCGGAACTGATTATCATAGACCTTTGTGGCATCGACGTAAGAAGGCATTAAAGTCTTATTGTTGTTGATTTTGCTGTTAATTGCATTAATTGTATTCCAAATTGTACTATTAGGCGGTATGTAAACCCTTAATGGGTTTATCACCTACCGATTTGCAATTCCCTTGTGTAATTTGTTTCTCATTCTTTTGTTTTACTTTTGCTTGCTTAAACTGTTGACTCATTTAGTATATATTTTATACAACTTACAACAGATAAGAAGACTTTGGCTTTGTACGTAAATGGAAGATTTTCTTGTTGCGATGATGGTGTGGAAAATTCCACGACCAATGCGAGTGTGTTTATGTGTATGTGTGTGTGTGTGTGTGTGGAAAGTTGTTGCATTTTTGGATTATTGGAAATTTTTATATATATAAATATAATAATTAATAAATAAATATATTGATTGATGTAATAAAAATAAATATATTTATTTAAAATATACTAAAATATACTAATTAAAGTAAGTTTCTATGAATATATATACATTTTAAATACTTTTCATAAATAATTTTATGATTTAGGTTTAATATATTCGAGTTTTGGAACAGAACATTTTAATATGTAAACTTAGAGAATATATAGAAATGCAAAAGAGAGTTTCGAGTTTTGCGAGAGCGTAACACGTAAGAGAGAGGGTGGGAATAAGAGCGAGAGAGCTAGAGAGCTAGGTAGGAGTAAGGGTTGCCTGAGAAAGAGACGAATAAAAGAAACTGTAAATTGTATATAAATATTGCATTTACCTGCTGCTGCACCCATTTATATACACATGCGGTCCCACTGTTAGATTAAAGAAAGTGAAATAAAATGTCGGATATATATATGTATATTTATTATACATATTTGATTTATTTATAATATGTTTTATTCATGTTGAACATATTTCCATTAGCAATACTAACATTTTTTATACTGCGAATATTAAACTTAATTATTAATTATTAAACTAATGGTTTGTTGTCGTAGGGGTGCTATTATTATTTCTTTTTCGCAATTGTATATATATATTTCATTCAGTACATATTTAAGTGCATTTTCAGTTTTTTTTCAAGTACTTGAAAAGCCTTTAAATTATCTTACACTAGGGGTGCCTATTTGCTTTTAGCGTTAGCTGTCGCCAGACGTCATCGATACACCTTTTACCCCATGGGCCTGTTAACATCTGTTCGGAATCACAAAGCACGCAAATTTCGTAGTCGTTTCGAGAAACAATTGACGTACTTAGAACATATGCTTGTTGCCTTAGCAAATCCGGGAAAGGCATGCTCGCTGTGGTGCAGCAACCACCAAATAAACAACTGCTAACCTAACCGCAAAGAGAAAGAAACAAGAGAAAGACACACACAAAGAGATAGAGAGAGGATAGCGAAGGGGTGTGAAAGGAGAGAGCGTGAGCAGAGACCGCGTCTCGAGGCGTCTATGAGGCAGTTCAGTTGGTGTTTGTAGTTTGAATTCAGTTCGTTATTGGCCGCCCAGCTGTGAGGAGCAATCGACTTATCGCGGAATATCTTAAAAGACTTGCGTGCATACGGAATTGACTTTCTGATTTTCTTTATTTTATATAATAAGATTTACACTTGTATATATATATATATATATACTATATACAAATATTGAATTTTTGATTGGTGAACTTTTGTAAAGTGTAGTATGAGAGAACGTAAACGTGTTAACAATAAACAGAAATCTCGTCGACAAAACCAGCAGAAATTGCAAGGAATCGATCTGAATTGTTGCAAGCGACAACGTTGTAATTATGAACATATCTGGCAACACTTTCGACGCAATGTAAGCCAAATAAATTGAATGATAGTACCACTAGGTACCACTATAATATGTATTTGATATAATACTAGCTATTCTTAAATATTTCTTTAGAGTTTTTTCTTAGCTTTATTTGTATTTATATTATTTATACAATTAATATTTTTAAATATATTTTTATATTTTTGTTTAGTAGTCTACTTTTAGTTAATCTAACTAATTCCTTATCAATTTATATCTATACTTAATTGGTTTTACTTTTGGTATATTTTTTAATTTCATATTAATTAGTTATCAATGACTTCGGATTCTTATACATTTTTATATTACTATTTATTTTATTTAAATTCTGAAGACTTTTTTGGAAATTAAAAAAGATTCATAAGCCTAAAATGAATACTAATATTTAAATTTGAAAGAAATATGTAAGACAGATAAAAGTTCAGTTTAGATACAGAGACTTAAAATACACCCAAGTCAAATGTTAAAAGTTGCAAATAAATTTGATTTATGTGATTGAAATACAGTTATTGAATATTACAAAAATAACTTGCTAAGATTTCGCTTTAAAAATAAGGTTTTATTGCTTTGTGCCTACATGCTATTTGGGTAACACAGGTCTTAGATCATTGAAACGTCAGTTTTAGCACATGTCTAGACTTTTTAGAACATGAAAGACCTTGTAATTTTGCCATAAGAATTCAAAGCGTAAATATTTCTAGAACTCTGACGTTGCTTCTTTTGGGTCTCTTATGCTTATTATATTGCAACCCCTCTCAGCAAATACATTTGTTTTGTCAATTTTTGAAACGTTTCGCATTTTTGGCCGCTCTTTGCAACTGAAATCTATTTCTCTCTTTCTCGTTTTATGCGCTCTTTTGAACGGAATTGGATTTTGCGCTCTTTCTGGTTGTGTGTGTGTGTGTGGGTGTTGGCAATACACCAAATAGGCCACACTCGAGGAAATTCGACAGGCGGCTTCTCGCATCTGCCGCGACTATCTAACCGGAAGGTGGAAGGTGGCCACCCCGGAGCAGCTTGTGGTGAAGCGTATCAGGTGAGTTAGATATAATCCATATAGATAGATATATGTATATATTAGATATATTTGATTGATGTATTATAATTTTTAGTGGCGGCCTCTCAAATTTCCTATATTACGTAAGTCTGCCCGACTTGGATGACTTTGATGAACAGCAACTATTGGAGGTGGAGCAACACCAGCTGCAGCAGCCGCAACCAAATGTCAACATTGGCAGACATGTTATAGCTGCCTCGACATTCGCTAAGAATAGCAACAGCTACAGCAGCACCAACAACAACAACAACAACAACAACGAGTCGCCCAAGTTGGCTAATGAATTGGCCCAAACGGTTGTCGGGGGCGTCGTTGCTGCTGGCGCCGCAGACGATGATGATGATGTGGCGCTGAGCGCCAAACAGGCAAACAAACGGCGACGCTTCGATAGCGACAGCGGTGACTCAAGTCTGCTGAGGCGCCTGCACGCTCCCCCCAAGCAGGAACCGCGTGAGGTAGGTCAGCGTTGCCACAATCATCCAAAACAAACGCATTTTTGGCACACGCACAAATTCAAATCGAATATTTACATATATACAAATATATATATATTTCCCTCAACAGGTTCTCTTGCGCATCTATGGCCAGACACATGGAGATCACGCATTGGAGAGCATGATTACCGAATCCGTTGTCTTCGCCTTGCTCAGTGAGCGCAACTTTGGACCAAAGCTACACGGCATCTTTCCCGGTGGACGCATTGAGCAATATATTTCGGTAGGTTAACTATGAAATCAAATGCAGTTAGTGTAATTATTAGGGCATATATTGCTAGAAGAGTATTAGATGTATAAATGTTGGATTCAATACAAAGCATACCTCATGGACACAACTTCTCTCTTTCTATGTATATATATGTATAACTTGTAATTTATATAAACATCAAGCCATACCTATTGTAAATGGTTTAACAAATCTGCATTTATTAAATTAAGAATACTAATTATATTATAACTGAAACTTACGAATAGTTTGACACATTTGCCAAGAAGAATGTTTTAATAACATTTCCTTTCACATTGTCGTTTTAAATAAGTCAAACTTAAATAGATATACATATAGATATATACATACATACAATCTTATCTTGCATTAGGCTATCTGTTATTATAGTTAATAGCAAAAGAGAAAATATTATTGTATACCCACCCCTGTCATTTATATATTTAAAATATGAATTATTACCGCATCTATGACAAAAAACCTATGAGTTTACTGTATTGTTATTTTAAAAGTAGATTATACGCTCTCTAACATATTTATTATATTTCACATATTTATTATATATAAAGTACCTTAAATATCAGCTAGACACGTGTAACAATAATACACTGCATCTATATAAGATTGACAACCTGTTTTATTTTACATATATTTTTAGTATTTTATATTATAGAATTATACATTATTCTAGTCTAGTCCGAAGTTCGATTAATGATTGTATTTTTATATATAGACGCAACTCATAGGTTTGCATAGGTGTTTTGACATATGCTTAGATTCACAGCAGGCCAATTATTGTTGTTCTCCCGAAAACCAATCCATTCAAGTATTTAAATCTCTTAGTTACCAGCCACGTTTCGGTTAAGGTAAACAAATACTTGCGCTAGCAACCTCGGGCAAGTGGCAAGTATGCAGTATATATGCGATACATTAAAAAATCAGTTATGCAGGTTTATGTATCACTATATTAGTTTAGTTCATACATTATACACAAGACAAAACAGTGCATTTGCTATTGTGTAAATAAATTATATTATATATTAGTTTAATTGGTGTTGCGAGTACTTAAAAGTTACTTAAAAATTATCGCTGTAGTTAATGGTCTTGAATCCTATGATTGAAGGTTTTTAAAAATCGTGTACATAACTTCATAAATTATTTGCCTTTCTATTGTTTTTTTTTTTATGACTTAGCAATAAGTAATAATCTGAATTAATTAATCTTATTAACATGTAGTAACTTTGGCCATCAACTTGATATACTTTTTTAAATGCCTTGCTTGGTATAACTTAAATGATTCTTTGGCTTATTCATTTTTAATATAATTAATTATTTAATTGTTCCATGTTTATTTGAAAGAAAAAAATGTAATTAATTGTTTGTAGGTTTGGTTTTGGCCTTTTAACCAAATTGTGTTGCCTGCTTTAATTTAGTTTCAAATACAAATGGCTAAAGATTGCTATGTTTAATATCATTATGTATACACTACATTTTAGGCACTTCAGATGTTTACGGTTTAAGTAAAATATTCGAAGAGCAAGTTGTAATTGGCTTAAGAATATATCTAGCTATATATTGTCATAAATTAAATTTATTTCTTAAATATATATTTAGTTTACTTAGTTCTTAAATACTTACTTATTTAATTATTGAATCACCTTTAATGCAAGATTTATGCGATACCTGGCCATATATTATAATCTGCATATTGTCTGAAAGTTTTCACCCAGGTTTCTGTCATTTATGTAGAAAATATTAAAGTTTTAGTTTATTAATCACGCTATTTATATTAAGTCATATTTAAATTAAAGAATATGGCATATAATCCATATAAAGTTCACGACTAATAGTTATCCTATGTTTCATATATATAAATATAATAATGAGAAAAATTATATATGTTTTAAAGGCACGTTCCTTGGCCACAACAGAGATGGGCGATGCACGCATCTCCATGAAGATCGCCGAGAAAATGGGTGAAATCCATAGCCTGAATATACCGTTGTCCAAGAAACCGGACTGGATATGGAACTGCATGGATCGTTGGCTGGCCAGCTTGGAGAGCATTGTGAAGGGCAAGATTGAATCGAGGCCCAGTTCGGCGGTGCTGCAAAAGCAGCGTGAACTAATGCGCACCATTGACTATGTGCAGGAGATGGCCTGGCTAAGATCGTTGTTCGATTCGGGTGACTATCCGGTCGTCTTCTGCCACAACGATCTGCAGGAAGGCAACATCCTGTTGAGGCAATCGAACAGTGGACAAGAACGTACACCCAGGGAATCGATAAGTATATTGAGGTGAGTTCTATTAAAACAATATATAGTTAATATGCGTACTAATGCATGCCGTTCCTCAATAGATCCAACTTTGATGAGACACTGGGCGACAGCCTGGATGGCAACAGCAACTTGGATACGGATGACAAGTGAGTTATTTTGAATTGGAACTCTTTTTGTTATTTAACACAAAAATATATTTCTGTTTGGCCGCTAACCCGTATTTATTTGCCAACTGCCAAATTAGTTCACAGTCTATATATGCATTTAAAACTACCTACAATTCTAGATGGCCTCTTGCTGCGGTCGTGATTTGAGTAAAATGTATAAGGCTGGTTGTTAAAATCGGCCCAAGCAAATTACCAAATACATACAGGTTATCCATGCCATATATTATTGAATATCTATAACAAATTTGACTAATTTCGCATTCGCAAACATATAGTAAATCGCACAGCGCCTCACCCTGTCCGGAATTGGATACCACAGATGACTCCGCACTGGACTCGAGCTTTATGTCCGATCATGAGCCGGATCTCATTATCATTGACTTTGAGTACTGCGCTTATAACTATCGCGGTTTCGATCTGGCCAATCACTTCATCGAATGGACCTTCGACTATACCAATCCGCAATTCCCCTATTTCCATCATTACAAAGAGCAATATGCCACGGTCCAGCAGCGACGCGACTTCATAGTCAATTATCTGAAGAAATATCACGATGATGAGCTCTTCGAACCCACTATGCAGGAACTCGATACGGTCGATGCAGAGATTCAGGTCTTCACCATGCTCTCGCATCTGTTCTGGAGTCTGTGGTCGGTGGTCAATGTTACCTCAGCCATTGAATTTGGTTATTGGGTAAGTTTCTATTGTTTTTTTTTTTTGAATGCGAATTGAAATATATATAACTGACTCTAATCTTTTCGAAACTCATTTCTCAGGAATATGGCATTGCGCGAATTCTGGAATATCAGCAGTTGAAGTCTGCCTATTTGGCAAAATGAGTTTTGGCTTTTGAGGATCAAATTTTTGATGGTGACTACTGCAATCATCAAACCGCACTTAATCGAATCGAGAAGCGTACTTAAGTGGCCTTAACCTTAAAAAAAAAAGAAAATGAAAACCGGAATCCAATTTTAGCCAGGAATCGTATTCGTATTAGTTATTGTATTAGTTATTGCAGTTTGGCAACTAGTTGAGAACAACACTACTTCATGGACCAGATGTGCTATAGCTATGGAGGATGAGATCTTTTATTTGAGATGAATATACTAAATGAATATGATATGACATGAGATGATATGGATAGCTTGTGCTATACATGCACCCATATATAATATTCTGATATTGCTGAGAAGAAAAGTCAAAACAAATTATTTGCAGCTGTGATTATTGCATGAGTTAGGCAGTCGACAATTTTACCTATTAACGATTGTTGTTGCTTTTGGTAAAAAGGGGTTTGGGGCGGGGATAAACTACGCCCACACCCACACCCACACACTACAAACTGTATCCAAGTATTTAGGCAGCATCTACTATACATCACTACTACTAATAACAAGCACACACTAACTAACTTACTTAGCTCTTCAATTTCATGCATTTGCACCCACACACAGCACACACACACACACGCCATACCAATTTGTTCGAATTTATTACTTGTTCGAATTTGTTATCCTTTTGCTTTCACTTTCGGATTCTAGTATTATTTTCAAACCATGTACACGCATTAGATTAAATTGCTTAGTTCGAAAATCAATGATTTATTTAAAAGTCGAGCAAGAAGCAGCAACAATCAACAATGAATTGTTTTTCTTTATGTACCTACCGTATTCCTTAAATAAATGTAGTTAATTATATATATATATATGTATACTCGTATGTAATTAGTACTTAGCGTTTTTGCCTCTAATTTTTAATGCAATCAATAAATCAACAATTTAGTTACAATTTAAAATTATTTTGTGTTATTCTTATACTATGGGCGGGAGAAATTGGAAATTTTGGAAAAAATCATACTTTTGGCGCCCCTCATTTATTCGAAAACAATATATCTTAAATGGAATATTTTGTTATTCCAATAACCAGGCTTTCAAAGAGTTGTTATCTAAAAAATTAAATTTCAGGGTGTTTTTCTTATATGTGCAGAGAACTCTTACATTCGATTTTTCTTGGAAATCTTAAGAATTTACGGCGATTCAAACACAGACGTCTATAGCAAATTGTATTACTCTTAATTTCTTAATTTCAAAACGTATTTTTTCTTAAAAATTGAAGTGTTCTTTTTCTGATTTTAGAAATATAATAAAATAATAGAAAATAGAAGGAAACATTGATAAGAAATAGTAAAAGAACTTTTACAATTTGAAGATTAACTTTTTTATTGAAAACAATAATTTTGTTTTAGATTTCAGAGTGATTTTCATTTAACAATAAATATTTGTTAAAAATGCAATAAATTGCCTTAAACATTTCAAAGGATTCAGTTTGTTAGCTGTTGCTGAGCTCTGTGGGGCATTTTCTTTGGCACTTATCAAAATTTACTTACTCAATGCACAATCAGCTGTATGGCAAATGCCTGTGTATTGCTAATTAATTTGATTTCGAGTCAGCTGCAATCCTAATTAAATTTTGGGCTGAGGGGCAGGCGAGCATGCAACTGGAATGAGGAATGTGAAGCCCAGTATATGATATGACACTGAGGGAGAGAGAGACAGAAAGACAGAAAGAGAGAGAGGGAGAGGAAGAGAAAGGATGCAGGATTGCATAACAATTCATCATCATCATGAAAATCAAAGTGCAGCACGTAGCAGCAGCAGTAGAAGGAATATATTGAAGCCTCCTTGTCGCATTGCAATCTGAAAACCATTTTCTATTTTGTATTCCCGTGTGTCAACAGGCCTGCCTGCCTGCCTGCTGGGGCGGAGTGGTGGGACGCAGAGAGGATGTGTGGTATAGTTGTACTTATTTAAACAATAGTTGTCCCAGGCACTAGGCCACTCGTTCAGCACCAGCCGCAGACAATTGCTTTGGATTGCTGTTGCCCGCCGAGGCGTACATTACATTAGACGAGCATAAAGGACAACCTTTCCCATCTCCTCACTCCCAACTTCCCTCTCCCCATCAGTCTCCGTCGGACCCAACTGGTTTCAAGTGCAGTCCGAAACCGCAAGCCAAGACAAGGCAGCAGCAAGGACATAAAACACGGGACACGGAACATTGTACATGGTACATGGACAAGGACATCAGAAAGACAGATATACACTCAGAAAAACAATCGACTGAAATTTAAATAGAACAATTTTCTAGCTTTTAGGAATGATTTCTAAATATCCGAAATAAAATAAAACAGATCCAAGAATTTTGAAATTTTCATAACTTTAAAGGTGGTATTTTAATTTAGTCGTTAAGTTTTATATTTTATAATTTTTAATAAAAATTCTTCGAAATTGATGTACTATATCATATAGCTAACCTAGGAAACAATCGGTCGATCGATTAAACATTTTTTTTGCTTACTAATATATCTTAAATAAACTCATCAGTTTTGCGGTTTATTATGCTACTCACATTTTGACAACAAATTATTAAGATCCTTCGACTATAGTTTATAGGAAGAATCGTTCGGTTTTATAAATGTAGAGTAAAAGTTAGATCTCGGCATTTTGCCCTTCTTTTTTGTTTTTAATACATTTAAGAATAATAAAATACATTAAAAAAAAATAATCGCCTCTTAAGAAAGACAAATCTGTCTGTTTTGGAAATTTCCATTATGGTAAATGAGGTAGGCTATCTTTGTCCACAAATTTCAGATGGATTTCCTCTTAGTGTATTCGCCGTCTCACTGGGTGACTGACTGTCAGCCGTTTAAATAGTCCTTCTGTGCGTCCTGAGTTGTTGCATTAATTAAAGATGCGCTGCATTGTTTGGGCTGCATGCAGGCAATTGTGTGATTTGTTGTTGCTGGTGTTGCTGGTGGATGTTGCTGTCCTGTGCTCCTGGCAGCTGCTGCTCATTGTGTTTTGAATTAATGTCAAAGGATTTGCGTAATTGGGCGGTGTCCTTACTAAGGAAATTAACAACAAGCCTGACGTTTGGCACTTGCCGTCATGCTATGCCAAATCAATGGTACCTGAACTCCTTCGGGGAGCGAAGCATTTACAATTAATCAAGTGCAAGTCCTTTGAAGGACCACAATACATCTAACAATTGACAGTTCTAATGGCTGGCCAATCACATGAATATGAAAAGTTCTTCCATTATTTTCTTACTTCAACTTCTATTTCCGCTTCCTTTTTGTTTATTGATTTTATTTATTATTTATTTATTCTTGGCATTTCTCTTTGCTTGAATTGGATATGCACTTTTTGCTTACACATTTATTTACATTAAATTGACACTAGCACAACTGGAGATCCTTTGTAGTGTTTGCTGGAAATTCAATCTGTCCTTTGTGTGTCCTTTGGCATTGAAACTGGTTGCATTGGCGTTGTTTGGCTTTAATGTCTTGCATTCCTTCAAGGCGTATTAAAATGTAATCGCATTGCGAAGTGCGCGAAGTGAACCCATTAAGTAAACTCTAAAATTGCAATTGAAAGAATCTGTTTAACATTAAGTGTTTGTTGTACTCAGTGCACGACAGATATTGTTTATATTATGGTAGGAGACTCATGCACTGTGACCAATCCATTGATCTATTGTACCCTTCTGAGTCTAAAGCTCTGCCATCAACCCTGATCCTTGGACGGATGGAGATTTTCTAAGATTCACTGCGATTTGTTTTCTGAGTGAGAATATCAAGTTATATCTAGATATCACCCAACTGCTGAGCACATGACAGTGAGTAAATAAATCATTAAACAATTTGAAAAGCTATAAAAGTGCTTGGCTCGACTTACAGTCAAGGACCTTCGAGCAATCGTTGACAATCGCAATATGTGGAGCGATAATAGCAAAAGCAAAATAGAGTTCGAGTTGAAAGAGATGCCAAAGTAAAACGAAATGAAAAACCAAACATAAACTGACACAAAAGTTGTAAAAATGCAAACAATAAATCAACTTTTAGCTGCAATTGGACGATGGACGTCCAATGGTCACCGCCCAAATGGCCAATGAACTGGGCGGGCGAGATGGAGCAACAAGAGGATAAAAACCGAATGCGGAGGGGATCCATAACTTGGCCGAGACACAGACAGTTGCATTTTGCAGGCGTAGGAGACAAGAACAATGCCGGGCAAAGTTTTTGTCATTTCATTTCTTTTTTTGTTTTTTTTTTTTTGTATTTGCTTTGCGGAAGTGCAAATCTTGTTGGCAGAGTGGCTTGAGATGGGAACGGAGGAATAGCAGGGGCGGATGGATAAGGGCAGGCTTTCACTGCAAAGAGAAGAGCCAGAAGTTGGTCAAAGTAATTTAGAAGCAGTTTATATACAGAGCAGCCAGCAAACTTAACACAAAACTGACCGCAGAAACCAACAAGAACAACACTAACAAAACAATTGCACAAACCGGAAGCCGGACGGATGCCGGACGGAAGGATGTGCGTAGAATGGTAGACTGTAAAAATTGAAACTAAAATAAATATTGAGCAAGTGGGATCTGAGTTGTGATATATAGTGTATATACCATGGTTTAAGAGTAATTGTTTATTTAATTGCTTTAAGCTAAGCATTTGTTAAAATAAGTTTATACAAAGTGGAACTCTTTGTTCATCGCTTGACCTTAAGCACAGAGAGATTAATATACTGTAGAGATATATCACTATAGTCTGCTTAAAGTTATGTTAATAATGCAGAATATGTTTGATTGCCAGTAAATATGTATTAGGAGAATACTAGTTGGTTTCACTTTGCCACACATTATATTTTCATTTCATGGAAATTTATTTCATGCCTCAATAATCATAACTTTTAGTTATGAAATGACAATTTGGTACAGTACGTGTAAAGTCATTCTATTCCAGTTTCTTTGCTCTCAGATAAATGACAAGTGTATACATTTTTGTCAGACAATTTACGCACTTGGCATTCGCTGGCATTTTACATATATCAAATGGCTCGACTCTTGGCATGCTAATTTTAGTGTCGACAAGTCATAATGCTGGGCCTCGTCATCAGTCAAAATTATGATTTGCTATCTACCCTATCTTAAAGTACGTGTAAGATATGACTATGACATAGTTTATTTTTTGATATATTTAAGAATAATCAGAAAAAATCATACGGGATTTTTATTATTATTTATATTTTAATGTGTACTAAAAACATTTTTAAAAATTTAAGAAAGGTTTTAAGAAATTAAAATTGCAAATTAAATTTAATACGTTGTCTCCAAGTCAAAGATAGTGATTTAAGACATGCACAAGAGAAAAATAATAATGCAAATTTTGATTACTTAATCATTTAGAAGTAAAGCACATTTATTTGAAGTTTACTATTTCACTTTAAAATTAATCTAAAATTCGTGAAAAATGTAATACTGTATAATAATATAAAACAATATAAAACAATATGGGGAGCCTTTATTTAAGTTAAAAACAAGTTTGTAGATCTTAGAGAAAATACTTTGTATTTATTTTTTGTATTTTATTATTTTATTTTATCCGTTGATTTTTTAAATATTCGTTTAGATATATATCGCTTCTAGTAAATAAAATATATATGGAATAGGTGTAGCTGAAAGAGTATTCAAGCATTAGCTTAGCTGCTTTGCATTATGTTCTTGCTTTCTAGCTTAGAAAAACGAAGCTTAAAGTCAAATTGTAGCTTTAGTTTTTTATATTCCAAAAGCAGGGACTGCATCATCACTCTAAAGACCGGGCGACCGCCCACATGTGACAGCTCGAGGCGAGTCGACACCGCCCACCTCCTTCCACAACTCCACTGACAACACTCAGAAAAAATCGCTATAATATAGTATATATATAATATGGAACCTTGTATCTTTCTATTAAGCAGGGATTTTCATTTCTTAATTCTGGGGTACATTTTTATCAAATAAATAATTTGGAATTTATACTTTTTATTATTAAGAAATCTTATCTGCTAAAATAGAAAAAAAACTAGAAATATTTTCCAGCTATGATTTTTTTTTTTTTTTTGAGTGTAGTTGGTGTATTCGGTTGGAAGCCAGAGAACCGCGCACAAACCAACATCCACACATACACAATGATAAACATTCACAAGCAGACACCGAGTGCGAATAGACCGCAAGCATTCGGAGTTGGCTTGGTCCTTTAGCAATTTCACGCACTATATGCGTATGTGGCAGGCCATACATAACACAAATACGAATATACTCAGACAGCGAGAGAGAGAGAGCGAGAGAGGGAGAGAGAGAGACAGAGGGAGAGCTAGTCAACCTCAGTCTTTGTCACTACTATCTGTATCTCGCTGAATCTTTGCGTGGCATTTTTACGATTTCTGGTGTAACTAAGCAAACAGCTCGAGGCGCAACAAATTATAATGTACATAATGGCAATGCGTTGCAGACACACACACATACACACTCGCATACAGTCAAACAACTATAGACTTAAGATATATATCGAGATAAGCGCAGTGCGTGGCTGTAGGCAACCAAAAAGAGGTTCCGTCGTTGACCATGTCGTATACTTGATACATAATGGCAAACTTTGCATAATATTCTCCACATTTTCTCTCTACTTCTACTTCTACGTCTTTTTTTTCTATTTTTTTTTTTTTTTTTTTTAATTTTTTCTGTATTTTATTCCCTCTTTATGCTGCGCTACTTTCGCTTTGTGTTATCACTGACAATTTAGCAGCAGCAGCAGGAGCTTCAGCAGAGAAAAATGCCAAACGAAGTGTAATCTGATTGCATTTGGCAGCAGCACAAAGCGCGAGCGTGAACAGAGAGAGCGAGGAAGGGGGGGGGGGGGGGAGAGAGCGAGAAAGTGTGGATAGGGGGTTGGTTGAGTGAAGGGTAGCAGCTGGTGATGTAGGTGTCATGTCCTGGTGTCTGCCAAAGGCGTTTTGCTTAATCAAACGTCGCTCTTTGTGTCAGCGCGATGTCAGTGAAGCGCTTTACACCTTGCCATGTCGCTGCCCCCACTCCTTCACTCACCACTCCCCTTGGCCAATACACACACACACACCTTTGAGCAACGCCAAGTCATTCAGTTAGTCAGTCAGACAGTCAGCCAGCGAGCGAGGCAATCGCTGAGATTGATTATGTCTGCTTTAATCTTGCAAATGTAATCAACATGTTTATGGGTTTTAGACCCACTCGCTTTCCCCCTCCCTCTCCCTTTCCTCCTCCACCTTCACCACCACATCTGGTCTCCTACTCTTTTTTGCTAGAGGGTTCGCTTTTTTTCGCCCGCCAACAACAATAACAACAATCTGTTTTTTGTTGGCTGACTTCATTTAGTTTACGCGTATTTTACACTCTTCGCTGTCTCTTTTTCTCACACACTCAGTGAATTCTTGTGTGTAACTGAACTATGTGACATTTTAATGTGATTATGGCAAAATAATGAATGGCTGCATGTAAAAAATGGGAAATCAGTACAATATTGAAGTGACGAAGCATTGCAAAATAATATAGTTTGACAACCTCAACTAAAATAGCGTACATCATGATACAACTTATTTCAATTCCAATAACACCAAAATAGTTTTTAACCACGGCTTTAATACAAATATTTAATTATTTTATTATTTTTGTCTGCGTGCAAATATTAAGGAATTGCCAGCTCTGCAATAAAAATCTTATGAGTTTCTTACCAGAGGATAATAACCTTTGTCTAGTCTGTAGGATACTCTTACGAGAGTTGGGAGCTGCTGAGAATGAAAAAGGTACATCTAAAAGATACATCTAATAATCAGATCAGTTAAAAAGTACGTGTGGAAATCGTATATTTTCAATCGCTTTCTCAATATGCATTCAACATAAGCAAAATAATTGTGAAATAAATGAAAAGTATTTGTAACTTAAAGATGTTTTGGTCTAATCATCATTTGGGTACTTTTAAGTGCTTGACGTTTCCATTTATTCCAACTAATAATGGGTGTATCAAAATCAGCACCTTTCGATGCATGTGGACCATTTAAATTGCTACAAATAAAATAGAGAGATTTTAGATAAATATTAGAAATAATAATTCTTAAATCATCCATTACCAGTAATAACAGTCTAAATACCACCAACCAGACTCAAAGGCATTTGCACAATTTCCAGGATGAGTATCATTATCCCGATCTGGAGTTGAAAATTTCATATTAATGTGACTTTTTAAAGCATTTTTGGCATCACCAGAATATTCTCCAATCTCTTTTAAGCTATAAGACTCTGCTTCACTTCCAACCACAAAATGATTATATTGGGCATATCTGGTTTCATTGTCAAAGTCCTCAAGGTAAATATACAATTCGTGCGGTTGCGATTGCGTCAGTAAGTGAAGTTTCTCTAATCCAATAAAGAATTCTCCGCGCAAATCACCAAAACCCGCCTTGTACTCTTCCCAGTTTCGATTAAAATTCACACTGCCGTTTATACGGCGCTGAATTACAGTCCAACCTGTACCGGCCAACTGCGAATCACAAGACACAGAAAATGTCTTCGAGTCGGGAACTTTAATCGTATACACATTGGTCGCTTTATCAAAGCAGCTTGCATCTTTCAAAATCTCTTGGGATTTTGATTCCCATTGTTTGATTTTATTATCATTTAATGATAATTTGTTATCTTTGTCCTTGACTTGGGATTGCAAATGTGTTATTTCCTTGTCTTTTTCACTAAGTGGCGAATCTTTGGACTTCACTTCAGATTGCATCTTTGATATTTCTGCAGCATTTTCAGTGAGCTTTTTTTTAAGGTCGTCTGTCAATTCGATTTGCTGTTTCAGCTGAGCTTCTGTGTGTATAAAGGATTCCTTTAAACTTACTATTGAAGCCTGTTGTTCGCTGATTTTGGTTTGCAATTCTGCAAGTTGTTCATCCTTTGATCGTAATAATTCTAGAAAGTTAAGTAGTGGTTTTACAACTTTATAGCAATAGGCCCCACACATCTGGTCCTTCTCTAACTAGAGAATATTAGAAAAAATTAGATTAGATTATAATATATTGTTTATAGGAACTCACCGAGCAGTTAGTCAATCCTTTACTACACGCTATTAACGATAGTGCAAAAAGTGAAAAGTATAATTTCATTTTGCTAATAATTTAGCGACTTGGATCATGCACATCTATGCAAATTGTGAGCTGAACACAAAACGTAAAATGGAAATTCACTGCGACTTATCAGCACCTTATGCGACTGTCAAGTTGTATGTCATCTAGTGTACTAGTGTGATTGTGATTTCTTTGCCATCAGCTTAACATTTATATACCAAATCTGAAGACGAACTTTTTTGAAATTTGTGTTGTTGACCGCTTTCTTATTGAAAGGTCAGTTATAAGATTATCTTATATTTATATGTGTATTTATAAAAAATATTATGTGGTAGATCGTCTAATCTATCTAAAGTACTGACTGCTGGTCGATGCTCACTTGAGCTATACCCTGCACTCTTTGAAAATAGGTATGAAGGTTATGATGAAGTTGTGCAAGAGTAGGCAGAAGTAAACAAAAAGCGAAGCGATCTAGTCATGTCCGTCTGCATATGATGCAGATCTCAAAGACTCCAAGAATTAGAGGCTTAATATAATTAAAAGAGTTATAAGAAATGTGTAATTATTAGTATAGATTTATTAATCCGAGAATAAAAACCCAAAGACCAATATATTTTTATGAATATATAAATTGAAATTTTGAATTTGGAGCCCTTCATTTCATGAATCTAAATAAATTCTGCTAACAGAATTTCACTAACATATTCTCATTCTGTTAAAAGCACTCACACATACATATATATAACATTGTAAGCTACAGCCACTGGTATTAACAGCACTTTTAGTGCGCTCAGAAAAGTTCTCGTTAATCTGCCGGCAGCTGTGATCAAGTCAGTCTAGTCGATCCCGTTCCTCGATATTGCTCATATATGTACGCGCTCTGAATTGCAACGTTCTGAAAATTGCAAAATCGTTTAAATAAATTTGGATTTTATAAAGCTTTCAGAAAGCTAATCGCGCTGCAATTTTGGTGATCTTCCTATTTCGTGCCAAATGAATAACAACTATTTTGCAAAGGAAATATAATTTGAACAAATACAAGAGCATATTTAAATAATTCGGTATTTCTTTTGCCGTTCGGTTATTGCCGTTGCCTCTTTTTAAATTATTTATTTTTTGCATAGTTGCACAGTGAGAACCGTTAAGCGCAGGGACAAAAGGCACGCACAAATGAAAGATTTTCGTTAACATTGTGCTGTTGTTTTGCGTGCGGCTGAAGCAAAACATAACAGTCTACACAGTGGCGTCCGAAAATAGTGTGCCAACCGTTTACCATATTTGTATTGATAAGCGCAAAGAATCAATAAAAATTAATCGATATTAGTGATATTTGTAAGGTGATTACTATAGTCTTTAGTGCAGTATGCAAATTTCGTCTCAATTTTTAACTCCGACATCGATGAAAACAATGTGTTTAGCGTCATCAAAAAACATATAATCTGGATTGACCTTGTTTGCGGTTCGAAATTAGAATCTAGAAAATTTCTGGTGCTTAGTGATAATACCTTAGTGCCAACACTGAGGTTAATACCTTAGTGCCAACACTGAGGTGATTGAGCAATAGACTGAATCAGATCCCCCACCTGATTCTAGCCCACATGCCATATGTGCATAATATGTCAAGTATTGTTGGAAGCCGACATATACAATTAAGGAAAAAATACGCATATGGGAACTGTTGAAATGATTGAAACTTGCTGACTTGGCACCGCAGCACACACGTGGAGGTCAGGCAGGATTTAACAAACAGGCAAATGACAAACAGAATTCGAAACCGATGCCACAGCGCGTGAAAACTTTGGATCTTTGGAATGCGTAGCCCGAGAACTGACAGTTCCGGAGTCCGTCAAACTTTAATGATTGTGCGGTGGAGCATAAAGTGCAAAGGCAAGTACAACATTGAGTGCACCCAGCGGGGCGGACGGGTGATGCACTGGGATAAACACAAAAGAAGCTCTGAGAGAGAGAGAGAGAGAGTGGGCATGACGGCTGGCAAAGTTTTTGGACGTCTCTTGTACAACTTCACAAGCTCAGTGGACCCCGTCGAGGCAGAAATTGAACTTTTAATTTGTTCCAAAGTAAATTTCTGGCAAAAACTTTAAGTCATATTGGTAGTTGGCTGGCCAAACAATGCTTTTCTCTCTCTCTCTCTCTCTCTCTCTCGTTCTCTCTCTCTCTCTCTCTCTCTTGTCTATATGCAACATATGTGGCGTTACAACACGCGTTGGTCTAAAGGGGACGTTAGGGGGCACACACAGACACACACACACACACTTTGTAATGTGCTTCGCACATTTTTCGGCATTTGAAACTCAGATTGCTGCAATTGTTTAACACTGGCCGCAATCGATACCGCCCCCTCTTCCATACTATGCCACGCCCAGTCGTACAGTCGCGTGGCAGTGCCAAAAAAAGTTTTTCAATTAAATTTATGTGCTAAGTAAAATGTTTTAGTTATTAATGTTGCTCGTGTTCCTGATGTTGTTGTATTTTTAGCGCGAAAAGCCACGAAAATCGTTCAACAATTTAGCAACAGTGACGAATTGTTCCAAGTGAAGTAATTATTTATGGTTCGCAGTGGGCTGCAATGAGGCTGCTGTAATCGACTGGGGTCTGGAATGGTCTAATCTGGTCTTTTGATGCCTGTGGACGAATTTAATAGTGCCGATCCAGATAGGCACAGCTTAAAAATATATTCAACTTTGTTATGTTCTACTCATGATCTGATCTTAAATATGTTATGAAAGAACAGATATTTTAGATACGTGAACCGGAATCTAACTGATCAGAAAAACACATCATTAGGATTTCATGGATTAATATTTGAGATTAAAGGGCATCAGAACCAGCTTAAATTTATTGAGACTTTTCACAAGCTTCCTACTATAAGTTAACCACTCTTTAATTGGGTATTAAAATTGTGAATTTTCTTGTAATGCATTAAATTATTAAAGAGACAGTTAGCAAATATTTGAGAAAAGTAAATTGGAAAAATCCCATAGCTCAATTCGCCCCTTTAAATGCCGATTAGCTCCATTTGCTATCAAGAAAATGTTATAAAAAACAAAAGTAAATATGCAAATTGTCCAATGGTATCATAAAAACATTTTTTGGAAACTGTGCAGATTAGTGTAAAAGTTTTTCGTTGGACAGCACGAGCTCCCAGAGCATAGAAGCCAGCTGCATACGTCATCATCATCATCACCATAATCATAAATGATGAATCGTCAATTCCCGCTAGTCATGTCCAAGTGGCTTGTTTTCATTTTTATTTTATTTTTTTTAAGTTGTACATCAATAAAAGAAAAGGCAAGAAGCAAAAGAAATAAACAAGTTTTTTATTTATTTTTTTTTTCCGCCAAGAGCAAAACTACGAGTCAAATAGGGCGCTAAAGGGGATGGTAAACAAAGCCAATGTAATAAAGGAAAACACAACAATCATATTTTTATGGCAAATGCAAATGTAAAGGGAAAACAGGACAACCGAACTGAACCCAACTTACGGTCCTTCGCCTTGTCCTTGTCGCCTGGATGACAATGGAGAAAAAATATCATCTAACAATAACCTAAACGAATCATGAATACCCTTTACCCTATTTTAGTAATATGAATCAACCTCTTAAAATTAATATATACCCAATAAGGGGTCTGAACTGGGCCTTATACAGTTGATAAAATTGTTAGAGATAAAAAAATAAAATATTCAGTAATGTATTGAATGTATTGAATATGAATGTGTACAATTTATGAATGGTTAACCTTGGTCGAGGGTATATGATAGTCGAGCTCTCTAAATTAGAAAATCCCTGTTTTATAATTTTGTATATTATTTAGTTATATATTATGGATTACACATAATAAATTTGGTAAGATTAAAAAATATATAATATAAAGAAATATTTAAATAAAAAGCTTATACTACAATATAAACTACAAAAGTTGTATGCCGTCTTTAACCTTTTAGGGTATTATAAAAAGGACAAAAGTGTACATTTTCATATTACCCGCGGTAGGTGGCGCTGCTGCGTCTGTGGCCGATAAAATGATTTGCGTACAAATTGGTTCGGGCAAAAATTCGATTGAGCTGTGGGAATATTCAGCGCCCTTTTGTTAACCGGGTTAGCGCGCAAAGCGCAAAGTGGAAAATATGGCAAAAGAGCAGCAGAAACAGCAGAAGCAGCCGAAGCAGCAGCCGCAAAAGAAATGAGGAAACCAGTCAACGTTTCCTAACTTCGTAAAGGGGATAAAAGCGATTTGGTCTGGGCCATGGATGAAATAATTCAATGCCAAAAAAAATTGAAGTTTCCAGGGAAAAACTGCAAAAAGCTTTTGTGGCTATTGAATTTTTGAAGCGTTCCGCACTCCGTTTTTGACTTTTGTTGTTGCCACAATCTTATACGCTGCCAAATATGCCGGAAAATTTTAATGATTTCCGCCGTTGGAGACAGCACTAGCTTCAAAATGGATGCGACCATCTCAGACACAAAAAGACAGACACACAGACACGTCCAGACAGAATCCAACTAAATGAAAACAAATCGACCACCAACGACTCAGCAAAAGTCGCGACGAGCGCATTCATTAGATTTTCTACTATCCCAAACATTTTCCACTTGCATTGGCCAAAAAGCGCTGAGCGGACCACAAGACCAGAAAAGGAGATAAACCAATCGATACGTCATCATTAGTTTTCTTTCAGCTCCAAACGGACAATTCCGGTCAAGAACTGGAAAGCACTGCGTCATGCCTCGGTGCCCAAATGATGAGCGGCAAATGCAATGAATGAAATTCACGTATTTTATGGATAAATATTGAATACCGATTTTAATTTTTTGTACGGTCCATAAACTTCACATTTAAGTTGTGGCCCATAAAATAGATTCACATTTTGATATGCTTGCCGATGTTATCGTAAAACTGGCAACAGCTCATAAGAAACGTCTCTGATCTTTGTCGGTCGACAAATGTGATTTTGTATGAACAACTTCTTCTCTCCAAGATAGCCGAGTGTTATAATTCCTATAACATTTTGACAAAGAATTATATGGCACGGTTGTCAAACTTTTGCGGATTTTTACTAAAATACTTAGGAACTAAATGGTTAGAGCGATGAACAGACAGTCAGACGGACATGCTTGTGATGCAATCAAGAATATGTATATATATTATATAGCCATTTTCAATGCGTTGCAAAATGCACTATTTACAAAAACTGGTTGCTAATTTAACAATTTAAAAGGAAGAGGAAAATTTTAGATCAACACATTTGCATAAAACTAACTAAAATAAAATTAACGACTCTTTCAATTTCGGCACTATCAAAATTTGTCTGGTTTTTAAGTGCTTCTT